GTCCTGTAATCGGTGGACTGTTGCAATGCAGTTTCGCACTTGCCTTTACTGGATAACTAAGTGACGATGAACAAACGCCCTACAACAGCATCAGGGTCCCAGGAATGCAGTTCCTAAGTGATTGATTACCACTGGGTACCAGTGAAGAACGTCATTGGGAGAGATATCTCCCAAATGTTTCCCCTGTGGCAGCAACATTTAAAGAGTGGGCCACATGACTGGAACGAGGCAACGGAGGATAACTGGAGACTCTTTAGAAAAGAATCAGATTGTGCTCCATATATGACTCCAGGAAATCAACGTGATATCGAGGTGTGTAGGGATAGGGGTGATTTCTGGCAAGCCTCACTCAGAGACCTGGGGCAAACTCCATGGACCTGAAACACTCAATACAGAGGAGTTGTATATAATACAACTAACCCCTGATATGGTCCTGGAAAGCTTGTATAAGCCCCACGTGCGAAAGTCCCTGAGGTGCAACGACATTCTGTCGTCTGTTCTGAAATCAGTTGTCATCGCCCCATGTGGTCTTCTCTGAGGCCCATTTCAACACGCTTTCAATAAGCACATGCTACCGCGGGAGTGGAAATGTTCTATGCTGTCTCTCATACCGAAAGGGCGAGACAGAACCTGAAGTAATATCTACATTTAGTGATACCACCAGGTTTTTCGGAAGTAATGGAGGGCCTGGTAGATGATCAGGTCAGAAAAACTTGGACAGAAGGGTGCGCTAGTGACCTCCCGCACAGTTTCCGAAAGGATAAATCATTCGCTTCGAACGTTTTGGCAACCGGTAACAGTTAGAGGACAAGCCGGGGCCTCCATCCTTCCATTCAGGTGGTTTTCTTGGACCCTGCGGAGACGCTTGATACACTTCTGCATGCCACTGTCATAGCAAGGTTAGGTATCAGTGGTCAGGTACTACTGTGAATTGAAGACAATGTGAACCTGAGAGCATTCTGAACAGGGGTTGCTGGGGTTTGTTAATCTTGGAGGTTGTCATCATCTGGTGCTTCACAAGGGGTGCTTCCGGGTCCATTGTCGCCCCTCTCTGATGAAAAACGTTCTGTCAAGCCTTAGCTCTCAGGTTCTGCTTTACGCTGTGACGCCCGCAGAGGGACTGGGGCACTGCAAGGTGACCTGAAATTTCGTACACGGCGGGTGAGTGGTAATAGGTTGGCATTTAACTTGGATAAATGCCGAATGACATTTACCAGTACTCCCGGGTTCGCAAAAAGCATTCTTCTCTCTCTGCGGTATGTTACTTTCTCACATGATCAAGGAGAGAGGCCTGGAAGTGGCACTAACTGACAAGTTAGACGCTAGTTTTGACCAACAAGGGGGAGGCTTTCAGGGGCTTCTCAGTACTATACTGCAAGCGCTAAGGGATAGGCCCCTACGCACCGCAGGACTCTCCTTAAAAATTTACAAGAAGCTATGTCCGGTCTTACTTAGAAGTTCACAATGTCACTACGCCACCGTACCTGAAGAGAAATGTGAGAGTCGTGGAGAGAGCCCAGAAGTAACCAATGGAGGGTACTGTGAGAATGTAGTGAAATCTCTATGGAGATAGACTGAAACATTTGGGTCTTTACTGTCTTAGTTTTCGCTGGTTGTGTACTGTTTTGACGGCGGCTTTCGAGATGCTAAATAATCTAAGCCATCTGAACAGTGGAATTTTACGAAGAGTCGCTGTGGCGGGCACAGTGAAAACTTGAAACATCTCCCTTTGAAGGGTGAAAACCCGTGTGCTTTCAGACTTTTTCTGTCTCCGAGTTTGCGGCCACTGGAAAGCATTAAATACCAAATTTTTCACCTCTTCGCCTATGGACGGCCACAAAAAACGTGGCCTTTGGTCACCTACCTGGGATGCGGACTAGGCAGAAACAACCGGCTGCTTCCGAACCATTCCACGACTGTCACCCATATATCCACCCTCTTTTACAGCAGCCATTGATGAGAATCCGACTCAACCATACACTTTGCTGGTAGACGTTTCGATTCTTTGGTTGTCATACCGCACTGAGATCATTACCGTTTCTATTCCCATTATCTGTGGTATAATCTCACCCGTTTTCCTACCTCCCTCAGACCGTCTGTAGTTGCATTCCATTTATTTAAGTCCCCTTTGTGCCTTTTTTCCCGTCTACCATGAATCTACCTCATTTTCTCCTTTCCTTTTAACCCACTTCTTTCCAACTTGTTTTTCCCCTTTTTTTCATCAATTCATTCTTCCTACCTACCTTAATGCCTTGTAGCCCATAACTGGCCTGAAACCGTTTCGTAAGACGTAGAAGCGGGCGCGAATAAACCGACTGGTTTACACAAGCCTGTCAAGACAATATTGGAACCAGTATGCTCATCAGAAATAATGGGAGGACTCCACTAGGCACCTGGTCGTCTGACATTTGGTGCGCACGTTTGATAAAGGCAAGTACGGTCCGTCTCTCACCCATTTGATGTTTCCTGCCTATATCAAAAGCAGACCTTTGCAATATTCATCTAGTTGCACGCGTTTGACTACCACACAGTCGCCAGCGTGCTAGCAATAGCATTTCTTCATACTCACCAATCTACTTCTCGTCACTGGATCTCGGCTATTTCTCCTGCCCAACTTGACTAACTTTCGGTACCCTTCGGAGGTCGTCAAAGTGGTAGGCTTGAAGCCCTCTTGCAGGTACCGTGATCTCACACTAAGAGGGGCATTGGGGTTCCTAGACAACACCACAAGCTGTGTCCGTAGCCAATCAGAGGTAGAACAGAATGCTGATCTGCTAAAGAAACATGCACTTCCTGTTTCTAGAACACCCACGGCGATCAAAAATGCGAAGCAGAGCAGCCTCGCCATGCCACAAATAGTTGCAGACTCGGTGGGAATCGGGCTGCTCCTAGGAGAGGGAAACATCAATACAAGTGCAAGAATAGGGTGGTTGCAGGCATTTCATAGCAAATTCCATCACTATTCCCGAGGGATGCGGGTTTCGCCATGAAATTTGATGACTATAGTATCCGCTGTACAGTAATATCAGTAGTCCACAAGGTATTCGTATCCAGCCTATATCGACGGTGGATACGTTGGCACTAGTGCAGGAGTGTACCTCAACAGTACCATGACTTCTCAGATGTTGCAACCGAGAAAAAATCTCTGAAAAATTTAGTGTATCACCTGCGACAGACGCAAGCGACAGGAAAACCAATTAGATAATCATGTTCGGCGTCGATGTATCAACAGACTCATTATTGATCAAGAGAGAATAGTTTGGCAGCTAAACGTGGGTCGACTACTGCTGTGTACTAGGACTCTCTCCTCTTCTCGTGGCATTGGATGGTCTTTTGTGGGGCCGTCGGGCACCATGATGGTTGTATATGGTATTCCAGGTAACCGCTATTCTAAAGGTCGCTGCTTCCACTTCGTGACGGTGTCTGTGACGGCGACTTGGAACTAAGGTTGGCACCGACAGTCTATTGTCAGGGGACTACGGAAGCCACAACACCTGAAGTTCATCACCCTCCTAGACCACTTGCCGCCCCATTCAGTCGGGATGCCACGCCCACAGAGGTCCCACACACATGATATGACATGGAAGGCTGCAAGGCCAGCATAAAAAGGCACTTGCGAGCGTGAGCTAATACCCACCGGGCAGGAAGAAAAACAGCGACCTCCAAGACCTCTGGAGTCATTAGTTATCACACAGGCACAAGCTAGTGAATAAGGGTACACCGAGTGTTGTATCTCAAAAGTCATTTCACTCATGACTTCATACTGGGTGATGGTTAAAAGTGAAATTTTTTAGCCGCGGCTGAATTCTAACCACCTACTACCGGGTTTTCAGCCCTATACTCTACACTAGGTGAGCCGCAAGGTCCAACTGCTGACCACATTTTTATCTCACTTCAGTCATCAAGGTTGCGCACGACCACTTCCACGTGGGTTGATGACGCGTTACTATCGCTTGATCACGCTCACTTTGGCTGCGTAGTCAGATCTTCTCACCCTGATCCAAATCTAGCCGAATTAGGGGAGGGGCCACCATACTGATTATCATTTTGGCCACCTGAGATTTTGGCAGACCAGTATGTACAAGGGGTGGTGGTTGAGGATGAAATGAAAATTTGAATCTTCACTTATCACCCGGTATAAATACTAGTCTGCCAAACTACGGCTATCTCAGACAGTCAAATGATAAACTTTCGGCTTCGTTGGTGACATCACTGAGTAGCTCGCTCGGTTCAACAGCTTTCAACCGACTCCTTATCAACCTATGTATGACTTATAGTTAGGAAAGAGACAGTTGCGTGTTGAGTGAAATTCGTTATTGCGCATTACCCCATATTTTGTGCTTGAAATCCACGGTTACATTCTCATAAATTGTGTTGCGTTGTAGTCACGCAGTTTAGTTGCACATATACAAATGAATCAGATCGTTCGAAATACAGTACGGATAACGTGCATCAAAGTGCGTGTTCTGTTCTACTTAGTTGGCTGGGAGGGCCGAACCGCGTGTCTCACTGTGTAGACGGATAGGACATATGATGACGGGCAGGCATATTCGAGGCTAATCGCATTCAAGGTCAGCGTTAAGTGTTGGTGGGCAGAATCCTGTGCAAGTCGCAAGTGGCTGCAGAGAAGGGCTGGACTGTACATATGCGTCCAGTCACGTGCGAGGTCAGCGCTTAAACTGAATCTTCAAAATCACATGAATCGGATCAGACAATCACCAATGGACAAAGTTATGACGCGTTGTTCACTTGAAAAGTCTTTTCTTCACCTGTTGTTATTATCGTTATTGCTTATATTTATTCTGTAATGTTTACACACAGCTGAAAGTTAAGCGAAAAGAAGTAGGAGTCCTTTAATGTGACGAACACTTCACAGATATATGATATCTTAGGTATAATATGCTCTCATTGATACATAGATGGAGAAAGGAGGGTAGAGAAGAAACAAAGGTAGGTGGATTAAGTAGGCAGGGAGGTAGGCAGAGGAAGCTAATAATTGATCAAGATTTTCCTCCACCAGAAAATTTCTGTCTTAACGCCATAATGGCTGGAGAGATATTTGACACTGACTTCGATCTTTTCACCACTGATTGTGATTGTTGAAGTGGATTGTCGTGACGTGATATTGCTTCATTTATCTGAGGAGCATTGTTCACTGAATTATCTCTTTCTGGTGACTTGCCCTTCATTTTCTCTTGTGATATTGCTCTTGTTGAAGAAGTTTTATCCTTCTTTGAGGATTTACTGAACAAATTCTCTCGAGATTTACTCAGCACCCCCTTGTCACCAGTACTACTACCATCAACCCCACCATCTTTATTGTAGTCATGACTTGAATTCGGTTCAACTGAATGTGCTTTGTCAAGATGATGCTTATTACTATGACTACTGTTTGAGTTCGACCAACGTGTAAATCGATTAGTAAACGATAAACGTGAATGCGTACCAGTTGGTTTTCTAAATCCTCATTCAGTTTTGTTTGACTACCCCGTTTACTGTTTATATTAGATATTGGTGGATTGTTTGAGTTTTTCGTTTTATCGTTATCACTTTTTAGAGTAGATGTTTCATTGATTTTCTGACTGATTTCGGTAGCATGTTTCAGATATGTTTCTTCAGGATTTTTTATATTTAACGGATTGGTTTTAATCGTTTCATTTTGCGTATCAGTATTACCAGAATTGACATTATTTGATGGATGATGTTGAGTAGAACGATGTAAGTCAATTTCACTGGATTTATGCTCTCGATCATCTTCGAAAAACATTCGTCTAGCTGGAGAAATAATGCTTCGAATAGGTGGTTTACCTGAAAAGAAAAGAAATACACATGCGAACAGTCTAGAGTGAAATTTAAAAGTATAAGCCACTTTGCATCTACAAGTCTAATGTTATCCATACGGACGATCCCAGACAAGTTCCTTTTTGGATGTGTGCGTTCAATGATGATGAACCAGTTTAAAAGAAAACTTGAATTGTAGAGGTCACCTGGCTGAGTTCTACAACAGTCCAGGTTTCGTTTCAACTCTCATCATAGAAAAAGTAGACAGCTTATTGTTTCATACATTAGTAAATTCGAAGTGTGTCCTCATATACTAACTAAAAATGCCGAAATTTTGCTAGTGTCGACATCAGTTTATATGAAGAAATGCAACAGTGGGGAACTGTATTTCCTTGGTTGTTTTGTGAAGTCGTATAATCATTCTAAGGAAAGCAAAGCATTGGAAAAATTATATTTAGATTCCGCATCGAATTGATGTGAGGGTTTCTCTTGACTTCTCCAGTCTTTCAAGGAGAATATGCATTCTGATAACAGTTGCAAATAAACAAAATACTTTATTCATTTGCAGAATAGAAAATAACCATAACTTAGATTGTAAAAGTACTCCTAAATTAAGGGCCTCAATAGTAGTCATTCCAAACAGATCACATATGTTGGATGAAATTAGAAGAGTGCTCAACAAATCCAATACCACACCACACACATTCCAGAGTACCTTAATCCAATTGAAGTACGAGATCCCCTTGGATTGTGTTTATAAAATAACATGCTCAGACTACAATGCAGTAAACATGTAGGAAAAACCTCCTGTGAAATCAAAATCAGGAAAAATAAACTCTGAAAAACTTCCCATCCAACTCTTCACAAGTTCAGTGGAGTTAAAAAAGTCTGAAAATACTTCAGCCATGGCGCTAGAATTTCAGGTCAAAAAGTCGATTTCGACAATATGGAAGGTGGCTTTTAAAATTAGAAAGAACATCTCATAGCAGAATCTGTTCACATAAAGTGAGATCAAAATTGTCTTAGTAGGAAGTAAGGAGTATAAACGTAGTTTCACCTTGTCATAACCAACTCCCACATACTGACAACCAACGCACACAGGTGGTAAGAACTATCAGCAGCTGTGTACGTACAAATCTCAGCCTGTAATTCACACACTCTTCACACACACACACGCATGCACTACAGATGGACATCATCTTTATTGTACAATGCTGACAACGCAGAATCATTCATACATAGTAAAGTATATCAAGTTATCATACATATAAGCTTGGGGATATTGTAAATCCCAGTGTACTATAACTTTGATAAAGTTATTCGCACTAAGCGTAGTGAAACGTGAGTAGAAACAAATTTATTTTGTCTTGCACTATCGTTGGGGAATACAACTACCAAGAATAATAATTATCATTTACCAAATGTCAAATTTTTTCAAACAATCAAATCCCAACCTGGCTTGGTTACCTATATCCTTCTCAGTATATATGTGTACTACTCATTGTTTCTTGTTTTTCTTTTACAGAAGACGGAGGAAAATGATTCAATCTCAGCATTGGGGTAAGTTTTTGATTACACTACTGACAAATAATATTTGAAACATAATACTAAGTGATACTATGAACCTGACATATTAAACTGTATTGAGCACTGAATACTGCAAAAACTTGATCGAAGCCTGTAGATTTTAAAGTCCCACATTAGAGCGTAACAAATCACCCTTCTATGTGTTATGATGTATACAGAGCTTGAAATCTTACGATCAAAATGAAAATGTTGATCAAATAAGAGATTATCATCTTAACTATCTGAGATGGCCATGGTGATGGCTGAAAGTCAAAGTGAAACTTAGACCACGGCCGGATTCGAACCATCGACCACTAGGTTTCCGGCTTGATACTCTACCAACTGAGTTACGATGCCCAACTGCTGACCACATTTTTATTTCAATTCATTACAGTACCAAGGGATGTATACAGGAAGCTCGTAAGTTAAAATTATCACGCTAATGCCAATTAGCTGAACTTAGGGAGATTACAAAATTTGACATAAAAAGGTAAACTGTTATCAGCAATCCTACTTTATCATGTGTCACATACCTGGCAGAGTGAATGACCTCAGAGAATAGTCCGTTATACTAGCTAAACTGTCTTGTGAACCTTGTCTTGAAGTTGGACGAACTAAAAATCCAAGTGTTGGATCAGGGTAGTTTGAGATCTGTTAGAAGAAGAAAATGTATAAGTACGGTTAGAGTTAGATACATAAAAAAAAGAAGGAAAATCGAGTGTATAACATCTAGGCGATTTGTTTTAGTTCAGTTTTGCTCTAAAACACAATCATCTTCATTTTAATGATAAATCAGTAGTCTGAAGATGACTGTCTTACACAGTTGGAATAGTGATGTTTGGTAATAATAATAATAATACTAACAATAATAATAATAATGACTTTATTCTGAAAGCCATTCCGGGAAATACTCTACAGAATTTTCAGCACATCATATGGCATCAATTGGATAGAAACAATGTATACGTATACATAGCAAAATGAAATAAGTGGCAATTACATGAAGAAAAGATAAGAATATTCGCTCTATCTACAGCTTCCTTGGAAATGTACAGTCAATTCAGGTAGACAATCACATTAGCAATTAGATTCATAATACGTATACGTGACATGCTCATCTTCAATCAGTTTGCTTTCAAAAACAGAAGTTGTTTAGTGTTGGTTCATTTCTAATACTTCCTTCATCGCACAGCAGACGAGCTGAGTACCTACGGTATTGTAGAGTTTTTATATTTTGAAGTATGTGCATACAGTCTATTTACTTCCTCTTCGTCTTTCCAAATGACCGACACGTAGAAAGCTTCGAGTCAAAAGGATGTTGGTCATGCTATAAAATAACTCCTACTAGATGTGTACATGAGTTAGTATGCTTATCCACAACAGTTTTAACCAGGAGATTTACGGGTTCTACTGACAATCTTCAAAGTTCTTCGCAATATAGCATAGACTTTTTTCAGCAACCCACAAAAAAAATAAAGGGGGGCAATAGAGGAAGATAGACAAGATACAGGAGTTTATAAAACACAAGAGAAGAGGCTGAGTAATACAAGATACTCTCAGTTTCCTAATATCGAAAGTTAGACGGAAAATTCTCTTGGAAATTAGTCACATATGAGAAGACCAGGAAAGATTTGAAGAAAAACATACTAATCGAAGTCAATAACGGGAAGACTTTGATATAAAAACACTTAACCAAGATTAAATTCCGATAAAATGTTGAATATTTTTGCATTTTCTCAATATATTTCATAATTAAACCTTCATGTAGTCGGTTCCTACTGAAAAAAACAGTCAAGGGTAATTCATTTTACTCTAGGTTATTTTCATCTTTCTTTTAAATGAAGAAATTATTTAATCAGGTAATCTTCCCTAATGTAGGAATATTGTCTCAACATATCTAGGAGTAATCGAGTTTCGTTCCATCATTCTCATTTCTCTGTAATTGAAGTTTATAAGAGACTACCTCAATGTTTGAAACCTGTATTGCTGATTTCACCTGACAAAGTAATATTCGAAGTTTACTGAAATCGTCGAGTCAAGCATGAATTCGCCGATTATCGTTTTAAAACGTGTAAAAGTTTACTACCGCCTAACATTGTGCATATAGCTAAAATCAATGATTGGAAACTTTTAATGAAATGACCTAGCCATGGTTCCAACGATTAACATGTATCGACAGTTTTCAGATGAATTTTGAAACTATTATCAATAGTTTTCTATCTGTAACGAAAAATACCTTAGAACAAACAGCTGTGAGACATAGCCATTTGAAATAGAATATATGAAGTGGTCATAGCCTTTTGATCATAGGTGTCTTCGTAGCATTGCTCACGTTTGGTGGAAGGAATCACCTGTGAGCAGTATTGATTTAGCTAAGGGTACTAGGTAAGATAGCCAACTAGATTAAGGAGGTCGTGAACCTTCGTTGGCTGAGATGGCTTTTACATGTCATACCGATCCACTGCTTACCTCGACCTGCCATGCTAGGGGAAGCTGGGTTAAGTTGGAAGAGGGTCCATTGTGGCCAGAACAAAACGTCTGTTAATGTTGGTTTGAGTCATGTGGGGGAGATTTAGACTACCTGACTAGGGTCCTCGGGACGACCAGGAATCAGTGATTGAGAACTCTTGGTGACATGGTTGAGCATTAATCGGTCACAGTGGTGCAGATATATTTACTCTTTGACATCTTCTAAAGCTTAAATATTCGAACAACTTTGTCTACTTTCATGTCAATCTTCTTCTGTCCACCTGTTCTTTGTATACTAATACTGTGAAGTGTGTAGCAACTTGAGGTGATACACCTGTGTGCGAGGTTCTGCGTTGATTGTGTCTGTCTGTCTGTCTTAAACAATAGTTAAATATTCTTAACCTAAATATCTGATTTCATCGGTTTATTATATATGTTCGAATCCTGAGGAGACCAAACCAAGGTATATGAAGCTGTGTTTAAAATTCTACAAAGTGCCGATGGCTTGACATCGGGCGCCGTATATCACACTAGGGAAGAAAGAGACAGAGTGGTCAGTATACTGACGATTCTGCCCGATTACTTTTCACAGATTTCCCGTCACTATACAGGGTCGAATTGCTCGTTCAAGATGAATACAGCCTCATGAATGTTCGACGGTATCGAGGTAACCGTATAGAAGCCCTGTGTAGCAACGGGAAATTACAAGCATCATTACAACAGCTGATATCCTTTTCACAATAAGTGGCCCTCGTGCTCCGATGGCCCAGTGGACAACAGTTTACCGTTTGAGTCGATGGGTTGTGTGTTTTAGTGTCAGTAGGAAGACCATCACTCACTTGGTTACAGGTACATCCGGCCGATGATCTTCCAATAAGACGAAACCGGCCTCCTGGGTTTCACTGCTAGTCAGAAGGATGAAGGTAAACAAGATGGTTAGATAGCGATGTGACTATATTCATGTTGTAACTACTCAGTCCCTATTAACCATTTAATCATTTCAACCTAACTTCCAAGGATCCAGGTACTGGCAGACTTAAGTCGACTGTTCTGTTTTTGTTTCCTAATTACTCTAATGTATAGTGTATTTCAGTGAATTATCCAAATAATCTCTCATGCTGATTATAAAAGAATTTAAAGAAATCAACGCAGTTTCATCAACTTGCCTTTTTCACAGTGACTTCAGGTGACACAGATCTACCACAACGACTGTTACCCATCAGACTGTAATTACTGCCACCGCCAATTCCTGTACTGTGGCAAGACTTAATGCACTGCCACGAAAACCACTAATAAGTGATGTTCCACTATTTGTCCCCAGTCCACAACTACTCTCTCTAAAGTTTGCACCGAATGGATGGCCAGCTGAAGATAATGGATGTCCATGGAAACGACCACCAGTCCATTCCATTGATGTAGATCTTTGATGGTTAACGATGATCCTCTTGGTAGTAAACTCGGAGAGAATGGTGATATTGTTGAACTGATCATTAGACCACTTTTCGATTGTGTTACCATTGGACTATTTGTTGCACCTGAACTTAAACCAAGACCTGACGTACTTTCCATTGAGGAGACGGAATCAAGCATACTGTGTAGATTTTCAACAACAAAAGAAATACACATGAATACTTATTATTATTTTTGTCAATTATTAGCAATATCAGTGTGGTGAATATGAATTATTATAATGTGATGAGTACACTTTTGTGTGAATGATCTTGATATTCTAGTCTTAAAACAGTCATTACTATTCGAATATCCGCCGTTGTCATTGTAAACCAGTAAACTTTCGCATTACTGACGTGATATCTTCATGCCTTAGCAAAATTGAACATGATTGGTCATTCCAAAAAGTACGCTGATTGGTTGTCTCCCGTTGACCAATCAGCTGGACCACTGTCATGAAAACCCCTTTCACAAATGACGACGGAATTGAAAATCCACTGGTTAAACTATTTGTATTGCTACATCAAAATAGCCGATCACTGTCTACATTCTCAACTCGTTTATCCATGTAAAGGCTTAAGGAGAGTTGAATTTAGGAGTTTGAGGGAGATTTGGTGATTTTTCAAGTTGGTATTCACCATGGACTGACATCAGTTGAGAGAACACTGGAAACCTGGGGGCACTAGACAGCTGCTTCGTCCTACTATGGGACTCAGCAATGTGCACCCTGACCCTGACAGAAGTTGGAAATATGGACCATTTGATCCCAACCCAGTGGCTCAGTGGTAACGTGTTGGCCACCGAACCTGAAGGCCGTGGGTTCGACCCTGTCCAGTCCTCCAGGTGATGTCAGTCCGTGATGAATACCAAGTAATGGTGAGTTGTTATCTGACTTGACGACAATTTGTAATGACCGCGGAAGATGCCTGCTGTAATCGTCCATGTTCAACTTCGTTATAGCTGCATTAATGGATATATTCTTAGGTTCGTGTGACTTCACAGAGACTGGTCTACTCCGTGGACTTCATGTGGTAAATTTGGGGTGCACATACGAAACTATCCTGTTAGGTGAAGATGCTGACAAAATACACGTTCTTCTGAATGGTTTCAGCAGAAACCTGTGGATATCTGGCATGCATTTTGTACGCGTCTGATATGATAAGATACTTCAGGACTGGTTTGACACCAGTTCCACTTTGACGATAGGGAGTGAATTGGTCGAGTATATCAGCCAGTTCACTTGCTTGGGGATTTTCATCTGGCTGAATGGATGGTTGCTGACGAAATCTCAGCATGGATACAGAAGGCTCGTTTGAAACTTACCAACCTGCATCATCTGTGGCACCGACCGAGGAGATATCCGACTATCTGTCAAAGGAAGAGGATACTGCGCTACTGCAGTCCGTTCTGTCCCGTTGTACGGCTGAGACATAGAGGTTAAAAGTAGAAAGCATGAAGCCATCATAGGGTGTTGACCATTGGTGTCTTCGTAGCATTGCTTGCGTTTGGTGAAATCGCCAAGTAAGCAATGTTGAGGTCAGGTGAAGGATACTAGGCAAGGCAGGACGGGAAGTCGATTGGTGAAGTTGTGAACCTTAGTCGATTGGATTATGTACTGCCCATGTCGAGTCACAGCCGCCTACCTCGATATATCGTGCTAAGAGAAGTTAGAATAGGTTGGAAGAGGGTTCAGGGTGTCATGAACAAGACCTTGCAGAAGTTAATGAGGTTCGTTACTGCTGATATGAGTTGTGTGGGAAGATGTAGAATGTCTAGTTGGTGTCCTCAGGATGAAAGGAATCAGTGGTTGAGGAGTCTTGGTTAAATGGCTGAAAATAGATGATAATGAAATGGATTTATTCATTCTTTGGAGTCTTCTAAACCTTGAATGTTCTGACTAACCTTTATTTTTATATCTGTTCACTTCCCATACTCCTTTATCTACTTTCTTATCATTTTTTGCTGGGGACTTATTGTTTGTATACTACTGTGAAATGTAGTAACTTGAAAAGATACAATCGACTGTGTGTTCGTGTGTATGTGAGGTTTTACTTTTTGATTTTGTGTGTGCCTATCAGGGAAAATGGAGTATCACACTAAGTATTACATCCGTGCAGTGGGAGGCAAGGAGCCAGATCTCTGTAGGTGGAGCGGGGTTCAAACCCATTGAATGTCATCTCCATGACCCAATGAGTCACCTCTCGAAGCCATAACATACAGAAGACTACAATAGTTATTAGGAGGCATTATTTGTACTTAGTGCAATCAGGCTATATCATTAAAACACTTGCAGAGACGTAGAAGAGTACCGTTTGTTTTAGAATTTTCAGTTGAGGCCTACCAACAAGCAAGCTTTGTAATTTTAATATCTGGCTAATTAAAAGTACAGGGATGAACAGCGAAATTTTCTCAAACTACAAGAGTGCAGCATTGTCATAGTAACAAGAATTTTAACTACTTCAATCCTTGGTTGATTGGATAGTTTGTGGCTGAAATTTCAGTTAGATCAAATGAGAATAGTTGACGGAATACTGAAGTGTGTGTGTATGTGAATGAGATCTTAGTCATAAACTGTGTAGTTTGTAAGTAGTTTACTCATAGTCTAATCCAAAAAAATTGAGCTGATCTGACGTTATCTGGTTATCTGAGTTGAAATTTCTCCGAATACCTGAGTAATGTACTGGAATCGTTATGAGTAAAGTAACTGTTAAACTCTGATCCTGATTATCTTGAAACCACTGGCAGTCTGACTGTAGTTTTCTTTGGACAGCTCAACAGATCATGTCAAGCTAAAATATTATGTAGGACAACCCAGCTAGACTGAGTTTTAGAATGTGGTAAAAATTCCACAGATGGGAATGAATCTCAAGCTTACTCGACAAAATCGTTGAAGTATTTATAGGATGGAGCTGATCAACGGTAACTACTCTAACTATAATGTTGTATAACACAAATTTCGGTGTTCATTATGAATCAATTTCCCTTTAAACTTTGTTGATAGATGGTGCTCAGCATGATATTTAATTCAATCCCCCATTTTCAAGCTTGAAATTCCTTAGTACCTATCATAGATGTGTTTGCATTCTAACGGTACACGTGCAATCTCAGTCAACCAATCAAAACTAAAATCTGATATCGTCTGGAAAGACGATGAAAGCTTCATAATTAAACAACCCAACTCAGAGAACAACCAGGCAAGATTATTCCATTTCATTATAGATTGCTTATTGTAATAAGTGAATACTCTGAAAGTGAGTCATGAATATGAAGTGAAACAGTAATTTAGTACTAGTCTCAGACCACTGTTCATCCCTAGGCCACCAAACAATTTACATTAAATTACATTGAATAATTACTTAGACATACAGATACACGGGCTTCGATAAACTTACCGACGTTTTAAGTTTGGAAGTCTTTCACGTTCTGTAGACCATTTCTCCATGGATTTTAAAATATCATTTAAAATGTCTTCAGGTTTTACATCTTCATTATTTGCCTAAAAGTATTGACAGTATAAAGATTTTTGAAAAAATGTCAGCATAGTTTCACATGAAACCTTTTTGAAGTAATTAAATGGTAGGATAAGTTTCATGTTTACTGGTTAATCATCTTAAAATATACTGGTCAATTTTTTCGAAGAAGTCGTTAACTTTAACACTGAGTAATACAGCTTTGAACCTGTGATTTCAAAAGATGTGGATTTCCTTAAATTTGGAAATATATCAAACTGATAATTGAATATCAGGTGAAACAAGCATAGCTTCCTTTGGATAAATTGTTAACAGTATATCACAGTGTCTTGTCACCTAGCTTAATAACTACATCATAGATTTTCCCAACCACTTTTGAATACCACTAACTATTTGATACTTTTTTTAGTTCATCATCTTGGCACCAAATACTTCTAGATTTACAATAACTAAATAAACATTTAACATACCTAAATACCAACTAGTTAACTAATCTTCTACGGAATCGATGATCTACGTTAGTTTTGTTTCAACGTCTAAGCATCCAGGCATCGACATTCACTATTTTTAGGGTCCTCCTTGAGGCTATCAGCAGCAGAACACTCAGAATCCTCAGTGTAGTCATCCAATGAGGGATAGAATTAATCTTTCCCCTAGAAATAATGTCTTTACTTGATACTAATGAATAAACTGCTCCTCTGAGCATCAGTCTCTTATAGTTCCACTAGTCACCCTTCTGGTTGCTGTCTAAACAGTTAACGGTTTTGAGCACCAAACCATTATGTTACAAGTATTCAGATAGTTAACAAGGGTTGGCAGTGTTTTATTTAAACTTACTGAATGATATAATAATGGATAGTAGTTAACAGTGGAATCTAGGAGGTAGGTTACGTCATATTTTTGCAATGAACTCGTCAGCTAGATGTAACTGCCTCACTAAGACTTAAACTGGGAGCGAGTGGCTTTAAACGCCACTGAATCATCGAGTTAAAATAGCCATTTCTTGTGCAACAGGTATAGCTTTTATGTTTTTGCTTGTTTTATCAGTAGATAGTTTTATAAGTCAAAAAAAAAAAAAACTGGGAGTAGAATATATTTTTAAGTCTTACTTTACACTTTATCTGTGTACTCCATTGATTTATCATAACACGTGCTTCTTCAGATTGGTAAACTAAATTATCCCTTTCTTCTTGCCATATTTTATATTCACGTTCAGCGTTCTCTTCAAGTTCAAAATGACGATGTCGGAATAATTCAACTTGTTGTCGATAACACTCCATCTATAAAGTCAAAAAATTTTTTTTGGACATAAATGGTAATATCAGTTTGACTGTCTAATGATATAGCCATGGTTTGGTAAACTTATATTTAGGTGATGACTGAATGATGAAACGAAAATCTATGCCGTCACACGACTTCAACCAGTGCCATACTCATCATGATGTTGAATCAGTTAAGTAATTTTAAACAACCAGTAACACTATTGAGATACTTATAAATATGACGATGAGAGTAGTGTTCATTCACTCTGTTCACATGATGAAGATCAACATTAGACCAGGCATTACTGCGTAACGGTTCAAGTTGTCATGCCTTATACCAACACATCAAGTAACAAGGCAATAAAATGGAAGGTGAGGAAGGAAGCACCAATCGGTGAAGAGAAGTAGAAATGTAGTAAAATAAAAGAAAGAGGATTGAGAAATGATGAGATTAAGTATAGCAGTTAAGATGAGGATAATGTGTGTGTGTGTGTGTGTGCGTGTGTGCGTGTACATCTAGACAACTGATATTAGTTCTGATCGATATCAACTAGAGCCTCCAATGACCATTGGTTTCTATTGTCCCACGGATTACAACCGGCTAGTCTACATCGTCCCACATGGCTCAAAACCAACAGTCAAAGACTTCATACATTGATGCCATGTTTTAGTCTGGCCGCCTTTAGCCTTTTTCCAGCCTGAATCTACTTTGGTCCAACATTGTGTGACTAGGCAGACGGCGACTAGACATACGTAACACATGTCCCAGCTAGCCATCTTAATCGATGAAGGTTCCCAACAGCATCAAATGACTTACCTCTCCTCCACAAAACTCTACACCTGACTTCCACATTACTGACATAGTGACAACGAAACAGACTATGTTGCGAAGTCAGTGGTGGTCAAACACCTGAAGCCTTTTCATACTTTCTATCTCTAATGGTCATGTTTTGCAGCCATAGAGTAGAACAGAGCGAATTGCAGCACAGTACACTCTCCCCTTAATAGACAATCGGATATCGTGGCGGTGACACAGGCGACGTAAGTTGGCAAAAGTCAAACGAGCCTTTTGTATCGGTGCCGACATTTCGTCGGCCACTGACCAACCCACTTAGGTTCACCCAACTTTCCAGGTAAGTGAAGTGTTCAACGTGCTCAACCACTTTACCGTCTATTGTTAGTCGGGGTACCATAGGAGACCAGTCCTGGAGCAACTATTTCCACTTGGGTGGCGCGAAATCCGTCTCAAACATTCTCGAATTGCAACTCAAGGCGTCCAGAAGACTCTGCATCTTGTCCCCGTCTTCACCTAACAGGACTATGTCACCTGCATATTCGAGATCTACCGAGAATTCTCCTGAGATCGGATCAATTCCTGTACAGTCAAATGACGAGGGGGAGACCTTTATGAGAACACTTATTATAAAATTGAATAAGCATAGAGACAGTGGTCACCCTTGACGGATACCACTTGGTATACACAACTCATCTGACATCTCACCATGGACACTTACACGCCCACAAGTGTTCCAGTAGAGATCCTTCGATATGGTGATGTACTTACTCGATACCCCTGTCATACAGAGACATTATCATAAGACTTCTCCGTAGACAGAGTCAAATGCCACTTTCAGGTCGAGAAATACAACTATTGTCGGGTGTCGGTAAGCGTGCCTGTGTTCCGGAACCTGGTGAAGTATGAATATTTGGTCGAGACACCCACGACCAGGTTTGAAGCCTGCCTAGTTTCCTGGGGCTTGCTGTTCCCCTTCTTCATTCAGGCGTCTAGTGGTTGTTGAATCTAGAACCGTAGACACTATTTTGTAAGTCTGATTGCTCTGTGGTTATCAGAGGACGACTTCTCGTCTTTCTTGAAAACTGAGATAATCAGTGATTGAGACTAGTCAGAGAGGATTATATTTGACTTCCATACACTAGCTAACACTTCAATTAACTCGACTACAAAGTACTATCAAGGATAAAATCTGAGCAATAGATTAATCTCAGAATGAATCTGTGGACAGTCGTTTGCACCATTAGCCATATCCAAGTGGTAAAGCTGGCTTATAGATGATAAACTTGGGGAGGCTTACGATATATGTACAGTGAATCTCCCTAGGCAAAAGAACTCTTTATTATGATAATTTACTTGGTTGTGGCTAGTGGAAGAATCCAGGATGTGCATTTCGTCTTATTTATGACTCGTCAGCTTAATGTACCTACCACCTAGTGAGTGATGTTGTTCCCACTAAGACTGTAAAGCAGAATCAATGATTTCAAACACCAGAGTGTTATCCTCTCAGGCCACTGAGTCATGATAGCCAATGCTTTCGGGGTGGCCACAGTTTTTATGTCATTTCCAAGAGATTCTGTTGTTTTTTCTATCAACTCAATATTCATTACCCCCCCCCCCCCTACAGTAACTTTCTGGATTTGTTTCGTGTTACATAGATGCGTTACAGTAGGCAGACAATGCTGGTTCCAACCAGATGACAAATCCCAAAAATCAAGAGCCAAACTGAACAAGCTAAAAGCTCAAACTGGCAGACTCATACTATCTATAAAGGACAAGTTAAGTACTTCTCTGTGGTTCTCACTAACACCAAAAAGTTGCAACCCCTTGTAGATTCTACGAACCGCCAAAAATCCATAAGACAGGATTTTACTAATCCTGAAACTATACGGAAAGGAATTAAATTGTGTAATAAAGAATTCGTCTGAATTCATGAGTAAAACTATCTCATTTTACATTTTCTCATTCTTCCTTTCTCTCTTTTAGTACTGTGTCTCTCGTGAGTGGGTTTTCCTTTCTTCATCTTCTACCTCACTGCCTTTTTACTTGATATATTGATATAAGCTGTGGCAACTTGAACCGTTACTCAATAATGCCTGGTCCTATGTTGATTTGGATGGATGAATAAAATCATTTCATCTTACATTGAAGAAGACGAAATATTGGCAAGTTTTGATGTTTCCTCTTTGTTTACTCACGTAACTATTAAAGAAACATTAGATATCATTCATAACCTACTGCTGTCAGATATTGATCTAGGTTCACGGTGTCCATTAGATTCAGGAGAAATTCTGAAATCTCTGGAATTATACTTACGACCGACTGTATTCACGTTCAGAGGATATCTGTAATGACCGACAGATGGTACAGCAATGGGGTCTCCAGTATCATCAACAGTAGCTAACTTGTTTATGCATTCGTTAGAGAGAAATGCAATAGCAAAATACTCTACATCAAGAATTTGAATTAGGTATGTAGATGAAACATCAGTCATCATGAAATGAAACGGTCTGAATGAATTTTTCTGTCATATAAATAATGAGTGAAGAAGTATTACTTTCACCAGGGAAGTTGAATCCAATCTGTCAAAATGAAATTTTATGAACTACAGAGACTGAAATTTTTAGAAAAACAACACATTCTGATAGATACTTAAATTATCAGTCTCCACTTCCTGTGACTACTAAAGTAATCGTCGCATGAGATCTAATGAACAGAGCTAACCGTCTTGTTACAATAAAAGAGGATAAAAAGGGGGGGGGGAAGAGTTAAAGTCAGTTTGTCGCACACTGGAAGCAAACACAATTATCCCAAAAGTTTTGTTAAATGGATTTTAAAAGATGAAATTAAGGATGTGCCGAAACTCCCTCCGAAGAACCGAATAAGCACTGTTACCGTTAGGAAACTTCAGAAAAAATAAAAAAAAATTCCCAATAAAAATAACATAAAAGTTTACTTGCGTGAAACAAATACCCTACACTCTAACTTAGTAAAAGATGAAGTACCAAAAGAAAATCAACAGAACTGCGTTTATGAAACTGGATGTGAAGATTGAATTGTAGTATATGTCAGGGAAACATCCAGGCGAGTAAGTGTCAAAGTCAAGGAGGATAAACTATGCTTAAAGCAGATTCCAAAAACCTCAGCAAAGGTTAAGAAACTAGAAAACAAGTGCTCAATCACGTTACACCCCATAGAAATAGAACACACAATTGACTTTAATGGAAGCAAAGTTCCATCATTTAAGATTGACAATCGAAGCCATACATATACGGGAGAATCCAGACAGTTTGAAAAGACATGATGGAGTACAGTTAGCTGCCTCTCAACAACAACAAAATCTGGGCTGATTTGATTCATTATTGCTATCATCATCATCATCATCATCTTCATCGCCGTCATTACTACCACTTATTTCCACTACATTCCGGTAAATCAATAAGAAAAAAAATTCGTTAATACTATTCACCACCACATTCCAACTAAAACAGCATACATATGCGCCTCATCTATTCCGTTGTACTTATAAAAGTATCATTTGACTATCTGAGATAGCAGCCGTAGTTTGGCAGACTAATATTTATACTGGGTGATGATTAAAGGTGAAATGAAAATTTGAACCGCAGCCAGATTCGAACCAGCTACCACCGGGTTTCCGGTTCGATGCTCTACACACTGACGTACAACGTCCAACTGCTGACCAGATTTTATTTTACTTCAATCAACATGGGTTTTGCCCGATGACTATATGTGAATTCGTAACTCGTTACTACTGCTTGACGGTACGTACTCTAATTTGTTACCCTCAGTAAGGACTTCTCATCCCAATCCTAATGACTATAATGTCACCTGTGACCTTTTGTGCCCGATATTTACAGTCAAGTCGAATATGAACCGAACTAATATATATGCCAGTCATAGAAAAAGAGATACAATTTCACAGTGAACGATTAATTATAATATTTTAAAAACGACAATGACTATGTCAGGAAGACTGAAAAAGGGGATTAAGTAGACGTTTTTGGATTAATTTATATGTATCCCTTATATTTCAATTTCGAAGCAGCAAACCATGAGGAGCGAGAAGATGGGACAACGCTGACCGATGAAAAGAACCTACACGATTTGGATTTCGCTCATTATTTGTATCCAGTATCGCACAAACTCGAAGATCCACTGGCAAAATACAACTAGTTGACAGAATAACACAGGGCAGTGAAGACGGGATTTACTTCAGATGAATGTGGAGAAGACACACATGATGAAGATACCCAACGAACAACAACATCAATAACAAGCATCAATCATCACCAACGGGAGAAACATGGAGGAAGTTAGTTGTCTCTTTCATCTACTTAGGTAGCATCGTTTCAAATACAGGTGGCGGTGGAGGTGGTGTGGCACACATGAGGATTTCAAAGCAGTCAGGATCGGAAAGACAGTGAGACACGCCTTCGAGCATTAACCTGAAATTAGCGTGGAGATCTACTGCACTGCACTGCACTGCACTTCACTGCACTCAGCATAAAGCATGAACAAGATCCAGATTTTGCAACACCAACGTCAGTCAAGTCAGTGTTTCTATGTGAGGGTTGAGAAACTTGGTGCATCATGAAAAGCATTCTCAACAAACTACAGACACTCATCATGAATAGCTGTGGTCTACGCTCACTGGATACTGAAGATGAGATGAGGTGGCGAGAATAATAAGAATAAGCAAGAAGGAACTCTGGCTGGCTGGCTGGCTGGCTGGTTGGCTGGCTAGCTAGCTAGCTAGCTAGCTGGTGACGAAGCAACCAAGGAAGGAGACAGTGTGGATGGATTCGATGTGATGTAGACTGAGAAAACCATTGGGAGACATCACGCTCCAGGTCAGTTGTTCTAGTGGAAGCCAAAGGGGACACGACGAGTTGGGTGTCTGTGGTGTGGGTGACATGGAGGAGATGGTGTGAGGAAGAGATGAGAGTTTTGTGGAGTCATGTAGCCAGATTGAGAAGACTGCAGAGAAGATAGTGAAGTGGAGATGTGCCACTGAATCCCTATGTTTCACTATGGACCCAAGGGAAAATAATAATAATAATGATATTTAATTTGATTATTTCCCCAAAGAATCACGGACTAGAATTCCATGTAAAACAACGTTTGAATTATTTGATTTGAAACATGCTGTGACTTACACAAATACAAACTATATTAATGTCAACCTTTTACTCAGCGTCCAATAGTTGCCGTATTATTCGGTCAAATTTTGATCATATAGTTCATTAAAATGTTCATTATAGTCTTTCTTTGGTCATCTTATGTGTTCAGAGGTTGATTGTACATGAAGAGGTGACCACTGATTCATATCTAGATTGCCCATCGTTACCCATCTTTAACTATAATTGGAATGAAAATCACTGACAAATCCATACTTTCGGTTGTATTTCGCGGTCGCATTCCTACACGTTTGCTATTTTCTAACAAAGGGTTTATACTACTTATAATTGACAAGTAGTAAGGATCATAATAACTAGCTTGTTTCCGAATATATTTATAGAAGAGTGAAGATAGGTCAGAACTAGTGTGCTATCCCTTGAGTATGCTAATTACGGTATTGTAGAGATTTAATATTTAGAAGTACGTGCATAAGGTCGTATATGCTTGATCATGGTCTGTCCTAATGACCGTTATGTAGTGAGCCTTGAGTGAAGTGGATGCTGGTTATCTGATAAAATACCTGCTACCAGATGGCTATATGAGTTAAGATACTTGTCCACAACAGCTTCAGTGAGAAGGTTTAAGGGTACACTACTCTAGTTTTGGTGACCATCTTCAATGTCGTACACAATTTCACATAGTCTTTTCCTGCAATCTAGGAGAGAATACTAGGGGAACAATCTGGGAGAGAATAGTCGAGATGCAGGACTTATGTACAACACAAGAGAAGAGACTGAGTCATACCAGATACTTTCATCTCTTGACAAACCTAACACACTGGGGTGATGCACAATGTTAACTTGTTTTTAGATAGATCTGATGTTTCCATTTCACCATTTCGTGTTTTACGCCAACATTGAATTTTGGAGGTTTTGTAGGAATCCTGCATCCAGAGAACTTATGCAATAAGGAGTGAGTTATTTTGAAAGTGAGCCTTGTTGATAGTGTACTTGATTGCTGATAATCTAATCATCTATGATCCATGCATACATGGAAGATGTTGAGTTATAAGGACTATGTGACAATGAGATATACAGGAGTTATATGAAAGATGATATAAACAATTTTGTAAGGTTGTATTCATCATGGAGTGATATCATTTTGAGGAGTGTTGAAAATCTGCAAGTACTGGATAGTTGTTTCATCCTAGTATGGGACTCCTCAGCAGCATGCACCCACAACCTTCAAGTTTCATCGCAAATCTGCTAGGCATTCAGCCTTTGGGTTGGATTTTAATGCTTAGTAGTTTCCTACGTCTGTCAAGTTGCTATGTAACGCAACTTTCCAACAAGTTCTTCAGCTGGGATCCACTTTACTTCTGAATCGATGCAGTCCATGATGAGTACACCCTAGAAAATAAAATTCCCACTAAAATTAAACTAAATAAACAGTCATAAAACTAAATCTTACTTACCGTTAATAACCGATCCTTTATGTCTTCTAATTCTCTTTCCATTGCTAACCTAGCCTCCTCAGCTTCTTGTACAGCAGCAATATTCTGTGTTGCATATGATTCTTTCAATTCAATCAGTTCAGTCCGTAGTTTACTAATCATTCTTTCAGCATTTTGTAGTTTAAGGATAACTTCTTGATTTTCCAATTGTACAGTACGCGCTTGTGAAGTTAGTACACTTGGACGAGTACTACTGGAACTTGTACTAAATCTTTGCAATACTTTAGGCAATTTTTGTGTATCTTCTAATTGGGCTAATTTAGCTGCGTTTATAAACAGTCAGAAACAAAAAAAAGAGTTAACAATGTATATATATAAAGGTACGGAAATGCTGGCAAGCAGCATCACCAGATGGAATCCAACTAAAAGCACTGAGAACAGACGCAGGGACAACACAGGACATGCTCACACCATTATTACAGAAGGTTTCGAAGGTAGGGAAGATACCTGGCGATTGGAAGAACGGCTATCTTGTCAAACTCCTGGAGAATAGCGACCTAAGTCTTTCCAAGAACTTACGAGGAATCATGCTCCTATCCACTACAAGCAAAATATTAAGCCGCATCATTCTGGAGAGACTAAAGGATGCACTGGATTCAAAACTACCACCGGAACAAGCTGGCTGGATTCAAGAAGTACAAATCATGTGTGGACCAAATTGCAACGCTACCCTACGCATCATCATAGAACAGAGTATAGAATGGCAGTCAAATCTCTCTCTCAACTTCATCGACTTTGAAAAGGCCTTTGAAAGCGTCGATCAACAAGTAATTTGGCAACTGCTTCAACACTAAGGTTTTAGTACCACAAACCTTTATCAGCCCCATTTAACAACTATATGAAGACGCCGCATGCTAAGTGATTCACAATGGGAAGCTCAGTGATGTCTTTGAAGTGAAGTGAAGTGAAGTGAAGACAGGAGTAAGACAGGACGAGGCTGTCTACTATCACACATGATCCCCCTGATTGTGTTGAACTGGATCATGCAACAAAGAGTGAGGAGCGAGAAGAGGGGGATAGGCAAGCTGGATCGGGGAAACGATGTAAGAAGATTTGGATTTCACCCATGATGATTTGTGTCTAATGTCAGACAAACCTGAAGATCTACAAGCGAAAACTAACAAGTTGATAGAAGAGGCAGGGTAGGACAGTGAAGACGGGAATTCAAGTGAACGTGGAGGAGACAGAGATGATGATAATATCCCACCAAACACCATCACCAACAACAAGAAGCTGCAATCACCATGGACGTGAGAACCTAAATGAAGTTGTCTCTCTCACTTATCTAGACAGCAACGTTTCAACTACAGGTGGCGGCACAGACTGGGACGTCAAATCCAGCCAGGATCGGTAAGACAGCAAGACAGGCCTTCATGCATTAACCTGAAACCAGTGTGGAGATCTACTGCACTGCACTGCACTCACCATAAAATGTGAACAACATTCGGATTTTCAACACTAATGTCAAGTCACTGCTTCTATATGGTTCAGAAACTTGGCGAAAAGCATTTCCAACAAACTACAAACATTCATCGATAACTGCCTATGCTAGCTCGTTACTGAAGCTCAGCTGGTCAGAAAGAATAAGCGAAAAGGAACTCTGGCTGGCAACGAACCAAAGAAGAACCTATCGCTCAACAAATATGCGCTGGAAGGAAGTGGAGATGGGTTGGGCATGCACTGAGAAGGCGGTGTGGGGACATCTCGCTCCCGGCTAGCTGCTCGAGTGGAGCCCAGATAGGAAACGACGGGTTGGGAGTCCGGGGTGAGGGTGACATGGAGGAGAAGGTGTGAAGAAGAAATAAGAGCTTGTGGGTAGGCAGTCGTGGAGCCAGTTTCAAAAAATTGGAGAGGACAGAGTGGAATGGCGACGTTCAACTAAAGCCGTATGTTCCGCTAGGAACCCAAGGGAAAATAACATAATAATAATATATTGAGCATTGAATGCATTATTTTGTTTGTTTGTTGCCTGTTTTGACTACGTGATTGCCTTTCATTGTGGTTGGTCACTGGTAACTACTATCAGTTATCTATCATTCATGCATGGATTCTATGTACTTTTAAAGTCATCCTCATCTGTTGTCTTCCTTCGATTTTTCTGCTGGCGAAATAGACTGATGCTTTTAGGCTTGGCATGCTCTACTGAACACAATTTTGCATCAATTTACAGTTTAGACATAAACATTTGCATCTACTCTTTAGCGTAGTTTGCTTATCCGTTCAGCGTTACAGTTCGACACATCTCAACTCGACCAAAACTGGCAATTCTCTTCACCACTGATAAGAGTTTTTTGAACTACACACAACTACAATGTTTAGATTTGACAGAATTGATCCGACAGTAAACTCCACAAACAATCAAAAGCAACATCAATGGGATCGTCTATATCAGAATTGATGACGGAAACAATAATTTCTTACACTTAGTCGCATTTGTGAACTTGGATAATGGAATGGGAATATCTGATACAATATAAGATAACGTAATTATCTGACTTCATAGCATTTTCTTTAGCAGCATACAATCAAGATAACTAAGTAAGTAATCCCTGTAACAAATGCTAACACGCTTCATGTGGCGCATGCTTTAAGATATAGGTTAATTATTATTTGACGCCTTTGAAGTGAAGACAGAAGTAAGTCAAGGCTGCCTACTATCACACATGATCTTCCTGTTTGCGGTCAACTGCACTGGATCATGTACAAGACAACTTTGAGGAGCGGGAAGATGACCATAAGCTATTTCATTGGTGAAATGTCACCACAAAATTTGGATTTCGCTGATGATTCGTGTCCAATATCGCACAAACTCGAAGATCCACTGGCAAAATACAACTAGTTGACAGAATACACAGGGCAGTGAAGACGGGATTTACTTCAGGTGAATGTGGAGAAGACACACATGATGAAGATACCCAACGAACAACAACATCAATAACAAGCATCAATCATCACCAACGGGAGAAACATGGAGGAAGTTAGTTGTCTCTTTCATCTACTTAGGTAGCATCGTTTCAAATACAGGTGGCGGTGGAGGTGGTGGTGGCACACATGAGGATGTCAAAGCAGTCAGGATCGGAAAGACAGTGAGACACGCCTTCGAGCATTAACCTGAAATTAGCGTGGAGATCTACTGCACTGCACTGCACTGCACTTCACTGCACTCAGCATAAAGCATGAACAAGATCCAGATTTTGCAACACCAACGTCAGTCAAGTCAGTGTTTCTATGTGAGGGTTGAGAAACTTGGTGCATCATGAAAAGCATTCTCAACAAACTACAGACACTCATCATGAATAGCTGTCGCCTACGCTCACTGGATACTGAAGATGAGATGAGGTGGCGAGAATAATAAGAATAAGCAAGAAGGAACTCTGGCTGGCTGGTTGGCTGGCTAGCTAGCTAGCTAGCTAGCTGGTGACGAAGCAACCAAGGAAGGAGACAGTGTGGATGGATTCGATGTGATGTAGACTGAGAAAACCATTGGGAGACATCACGCTCCAGGTCAGTTGTTCTAGTGGGAGCGAAAGGGGACACGATGAGTTGGGTGTCTGTGGTGTGGGTGACATGGAGGAGATGGTGTGAGGAAGAGATGAGAGTTTTTGTGGAGTCATGTAGCCAGATTGAGAAGACTGCAGAGAAGATAGTGAAGTGGAGACGTGCTACTGAATCCCTATGTTTCACTACATACGCAATTAAAAAACAAATTATTTCATAATTTGTTATTTGACTGTCTGAGTTAGCCGTAGTTTGAAAGACTAGTTTTAATTTGCTGGGTGATTTTTGAAAGTGAAATGAAAATTTGGACCGCGGTAGGATTCCAACCAGTGACCATGAAGTTTCCCACCCAATGCTCTACCAAGTGAGCTACGATGTTCAAATGCTGAGCAGAGTTTTATTTAACTTCAATCACCAAGGGTTTTACCTGATGACTATCATGTGGATTTGCGAAGGTTTACTACCACCGTTTGATCGTACTCACACTGGCTGCTTAGTCACAACTTCTCATCGAATTCCAAATCTAACTGAATTAGAAAGAAAGGGGGAGCATCATATTGATTATTTGAGATATTAGCCGTGGTTTAGCACACTAGTATGCATACTGGATGATGAATGAAGTTTAAGTGAAAATTTTGACCACGGCAGGATTCGAACCTGCAATCAACGGGTTTCCGGCCCAACGCTCCACACCTACTGAGAATCATCAACTAACTCATTCAAAAGTGGATTGGACAAGCACACAGAACTATCGGGAAAAGGCTTAAAGTCTTCTATCCTCAAACAACAAATCTAAATCTGAATTAATAAATACAGTTGGAGTTAACAAGAGTTTGCAATTTGTCTAATTTGGATTGTGTAATTGTATATATTGTTTGCTACAGTTTGGCTACTGAATAGATCGTGACCAATCCACTCCTAATTTGTCCATGCATTCATTTCACAGCATCATCTTCCTGGAATATTAAAGTAGTAAGGAAACTAGTAATGCTTCTTGCTCTTTTCTTCTCAGTTTTCCAGTAATTCTGAACTAACTTCAATGGATAATCATTAGTGTGTAGACATTTTTGGATAAGGTGAAATTCTTCTGACAGTTTTTTATGAGAGCATAATCACTGTGCTGTTAGTGATGTACTTTCAGTTCATGAAACAGAAGAAATCTCTATGTCTTTAGTTTCATATATGAAAATTTCTCAAATGGATATTGATGTTCAATATGAAAATCTCTATGATCAACTCTGTCCTCTTGTCCTTACGTCTTCAGATAATGAAAGTTGGTTAAAGGCTAAATTAGTTGGTATTACTTTTCAGTTCTGTAGTTCAAAAAGAAGACCTACGGAACAGATCTGACCTTCATATTCTCAAACCTGATGAAGGATTAGACATTTTTAGGATGAATAAACGTGACTATAAAAATAAACTGTCACCGATCCACAGTGGCGAAAGAAAATTCATAGCTGGTGTTCCATCAGAAGATATTAGAATTAGAACCAAAAATTAATCCTTCAATTTACAAATCTATATGGCTTATCTAAGATTCATAAAATTAATAATCCCTTATACCTCATGTGTTGTTCACCCACTCATAAACTAGGGAAATAGTTGGAGAAAATGTCAAGTCCACTTTGAAAGAAATTCTGTAGGTTTTCCTTGAAAAATACTTTTCAACTTATTGTTGTAGCATGAATATCGAAAACAAGACTGTTTGCTGTTTTGATGTAAATTCTTTATCCTTCGACGTCCTGTTGTCCAAGACTACTAACCCCCAACTGTGATTAAACATCGTCTAGAAATCTCCAATACCCCATTACTCCAACTTTTCTCGGGCAGCTGTTATTCCTGTTTACTGAGAAAGTTAATTTCAAATTCGATGGGGGAACACTTTCGACAAGTTCATGATGTAGCTATGACAAGTCCTACAGGTTCATTTCTAGCTGATACTTAGATATCACATATCAAAAATCTGGCTGGTGGTCTCATCGTTAAAGTTTTTCTTTGCAAGAAATATTTCGATGACATCATGGTGATTTGTGAAAGGCATGAGGATATGGTTTGTCTGCTAAAAGGATTTAACACCGTACAAACTCATATCACCCCAACTTATGAGAAATAGAATAATCATCATCTTAAAAGTACTCTTGAGTCAAGAAGAAAACGATCCAATAAGACGGTCAGTTTACGGAAAGCCCACATGAAATCAGATCTAATAAAATGGCTGTTTAATAGGATTTGTCGTATCAGTACATCCGATAAAATGCTTGAAGATATCAAATTACTGACCCTAAAACACTTATGATAAATGGATATCCAATGAAGTTTATAAATCCTTGTAGAGGTCAGGTAACATCGAAGCCAACTCAATACACTGTTATTAAGAAAAGCGTACATATCACTCTGTCATACAGAGACGAGTTGAATAGTATCATTTTGAGATGCAGGCTGATATCAACCATTAAGAAAACTTATTACACACCTAATCTTATTAATGTCGAGGAAACGAAACACATACTTCACCACTGCACCAATCATTACATCATATCCCACTGTTTACCAGTTGACATAGACGTGCGTGTGGTTACACATCCCAAGGGAGGAGTAATCGAGCCGTACAGTTGTTGAGGGTGAGAGAACATGTATCTAAATAGCTTTAAAAACAAATGTAGTGTAAAAATTTGGTACGAGCATTTAGCAAACAACCTTCTGAATCCACAGGTAACTGAATAATCGATTACTATTATTAATTTTTGTACCTTGAGTACTTAGTGAAACATAGGGATTCAGTAGCACGTCTCCACTTCACTATCTTCTCTGCAGTCTTCTCAATCTGGCTACATGACTCCACAAAACCTCTCATCTCTTCCTCACACCATCTCCTCCATGTCACCCACACCACAGACACCCAACTCGTCGTGTCCCCTTTCGCTTCCACTAGAACAACTGACCTGGAGCGTGATGTCTCCCAATGGTTTTCTCAGTCTACATCACATCGAATCCATCCACACTGTCTCCTTCCTTGGTTGCTTCGTCACCAGCTAGCTAGCTAGCTAGCTAGCCAGCCAACCAGCCAGCCAGCCAGCCAGAGTTCCTTCTTGCTTATTCTTATTATTCTCGCCACCTCATCTCATCTTCAGTATCCAGTGAGCGTAGGCGACAGCTATTCATGATGAGTGTCTGTAGTTTGTTGGGAATGCTTTTCATGATGCACCAAGTTTCTCAACCCTCACATAGAAACACTGACTTGACTGACGTTGGTGTTGCAAAATCTGGATCTTGTTCATGCTTTATGCTGAGTGCAGTGAAGTGCAGTGCAGTGCAGTGCAGTAGATCTCCACGCTAATTTCAGGTTAATGCTCGAAGGCGTGTCTCACTGTCTTTCCGATCCTGACTGCTTTGAAATCCTCATGTGTGCCACCACCACCTCCACCGCCACCTGTATTTGAAACGATGCTACCTAAGTAGATGAAAGAGACAACTAACTTCCTCCATGTTTCTCCCGTTGGTGATGATTGATGCTTGTTATTGATGTTGTTGTTCGTTGGGTATCTTCATCATGTGTGTCTTCTCCACATTCACCTGAAGTAAATCCCGTCTTCACTGCCCTGTGTATTCTGTCAACTAGTTGTATTTTGCCAGTGGATCTTCGAGTTTGTGCGATATTGGACACGAATCATCAGCGAAATCCAAATTTTGTGGTGACATTTCACCAATGAAATAGCTTATGGTCATCTTCCCGCTCCTCAAAGTTGTCTTGTACATGATCCAGTGCAGTTGACCGCAAACAGGAAGATCATGTGTGATAGTAGGCAGCCTTGACTTACTTCTGTCTTCACTTCAAAGGAGTCACTAAGCTTTCCATTGTGAATCACTTGGCATATCGCGTCATTATTTAGTTGTTGAATGAGTTTGATGAAGGTTTGTGGTCACAAAATTAATGTTGAATCAGCTTTGAAAGTTTTCTGTTGAAGGAGTCAAAGACGCTTCTTGAGATTGGCACAAGTGATAGCCATACGTGAGTTGAGGGCATTGAGTTCCCACTTATAGGACAGAAGTTCATTCGCTGCTGTCTCTAACGCAGTCTGTAGGGCTCTTACGCTATGGATATGACTCATTGTCGCCTACTGCAAGAATGTTCACGACAGAGGTGAAAGTATTCCAATTTAATTCGCTATTATCGAACGCAAGGATAATTACTATCAAGACAAACCTCTATTGCTTGTTTCTCTTTCTCCAACTTTTCATATGCTGACTGTAAACTCAGTATTTTCTTTTCACTCTCCTTTTCTAGGTCGAACAATTTGACACTTGTATCTTGAAGTAGCTTTCGGGTATTGATTAATGCAGTTCGACGATCTTCTTGCTGAAAAAAATAAGAAAAACTATATGATCAGTTTTAGTATTAGTACACAGTGAATAGAAGTACAGTCATACAGTGATAGACGGGACTAAACTGATTTCTTTTTGACGTTTTTTTAATATTTTATTAAGCTGAAAGGCATATGCAAGAAATGGTTCAGTTTCAGTGTGATTTGAGCATATACAACGTAAACAGTGGAATGAGGACACGGTTACCCAAGAAGATACTATTTCGTCACCTAGAGTTTTCATCAGCTATTTACAACCTGGAGTAAATGAATAAGTACGATAAAACGTTTCGTCATTAATATTGGAGTAAAACTTGTGCTCTGTACTAGATTTCAACTTTATTTTAGTCTGTTTATTGGAATCAGCATACACAGTGGGACAGTATCATTTACCGGATAACAAAGTTTCGGACATAATTTATTGTCCAGTGTTTATTTAGTCCTAATTTTCTCTCTCCTTTCTGAGGACAGGGGTAGTAGAATTTTCTACATTTCTGGGACGAGTGCAGAATCATTTCTATTATTGTATGTATTTGATGTTGATTCGATAAACAATGATGTTTCGGTTATCTATCTCTCCCTCCACTCAATTAGATTAGTTTTTTAACGATATCACTCTATCCCACCCTACTGTGTAATTGCATGTAATTGCGTGTGGAGCTATAACCGAGCTATTCTCTAAATTCCTTACCTTATTAGGATCAACTGATCTTGAATTAGCTGAGATTTTGTGCTGTTATTCTAATGGACCTCAGTTGACTACTCTGACCTATGTGTTTGACCTCACAGTTATTGCAAGGAATTTGATAAACCAGCTTATTTTGCTTGATTGCATCTGTAGCGTCTTTTAGCCTACAAGCTTGTTGCTAAGTGAGTTTGTTGGCTTAAATGCCACTCTAATCCCAGCCAGCTTTATTGAGAATTCTTCATAATGCTTCTGAGCTGCCTTCTTTGTTTGGTAACACAGTGTAGGCTTTGAATTCTCTCTCCACCCTGTCACCATTATTACTATTAGTAGTAGAGGTATAATGAATTTATTGATAAATTTGTGTGGTTGATTATTGAGCCGCAATGTATTCTTCATGTGTCTAATTTCTTGTCATAGATTTTCTGGTCTACTAATGAGCTTTTCCGCCTCAACACCTAGGTATTTAGTTAAGCCTACTTTAACCGAAAAGGGATGGAAGGATTTAAAGTCTAAGTAGTGATTTGAATAGGAAGGTTTCCTGTAGATGACACTAGTCTCTAAACTTCCATCTTGTTTTCGTTTAATCTTGCAGTCCAACATTGTCAGCTCACCTTCATCACTTTTCAAGTCACGGGTGAATTGGAATGTATTCACTACGGAATTTATATGTGCCAAGAATCTGTTAATGTGTTTCGATTTCAGTATTCTAAACGTATCATCTACATATCGGAATGATATCTTTGGAGTAAGACCGAATGTTTGAAGGGTCATCTGTTCCCAACTATCCATAGATATGTCTGCGACGGTAGGGGATACTGGTGATCCTATGACAACCCTTTCAGTAAATTTTCATATATTATTTCGAAACTTAAAAACTGTAGACATAGGGCATAATTTGCTATATACTCCTAGTTTTGCATATGTTTCACCTGGTGTTTGTCTATAACCTTAAAATAGCTTATCAATGCCGCTTTCACACCGTTACTAGTTTTCTTTCCTCTAATCTCAAGGCTGAACTCTTGTCGGTTGTTAATTATTTTAAACAAAAGGTAGATTTAGTATTTTCAATGTCATTTAGAGATGTATATAGTCAGCATCGCTGTCAACTGTACTGACTGTTGTTGAGACGGTAAAAGGCTGCCTATCAATGATCCGTCTTCTCTTCTTATCTTAGCGTGTCGGTGGTATTTGTTGTGGTGGGGATTCACGTCCTCATAAGCGTTTAGATTTGATTCATTGCACTTATAGATTGTTAGTTCACACTACAGGTTATAGTATAAATGTACTTCCAACACAATTTCAGTACATTTAATACAAAGGATCTTGAGATGTCATTTTATGTTTTCTAGATCAGAAAAAGCCATCAGAATACCACAGGTACAATGAGAAAATTCATTTTGACATGCTTTGTAAGACAAGATGAGGAATGTTCTCGAATGAATGAAACAAGGTTAGATACAAACAAGAGTGGTTCATCCATCCATCCAGATCAACCTAGGACCCTTGAAAATCAATCCTGGAGCAGCAATTCGCGTTTGAGTGGTGAGAAACGCATCCCAAACAATCTCAAATTGCTGGTCAAATTGTTCAGAAGACTCTGCATCTTGTCAGGGTCTTCACAAGAGCGGTTACGTAATCACATAGTGACAATTATGGTAATAAAATGATAAATTTGTGTAGTAATTCGTATTGATAGTAAAACAATTTTTGACGTCAGAGTAGTCTTCATTACGAGTTGAAATGATTTCAGGAACCATTGAAAACCTATGAATATTAGATAACTGTTCTTCTCCAAATCTTGGCACTCTTTAGAAAGGCTTCGCCGAGATCTGAAAACTGTCGAATCTCATTCCAGACTTGTTTGATTTCATAGGTCACTTCTTCTGATTAGAATTGACAGGAGTACAGAAAGTGCATCACTAAATTTTAGTCGAAAGCCTAAATGGTAATGTGATTGCCGTGACATTTCGTGGTTCTAGACGTGAACCCTTTTAGAGTCATCGGCGCGTACTTCTGTAAAGGGTTCCAATGATGGAAGGAACTGGTGTCTGTTTCCTTCAGGTTTACAATGGTTTTTTAATACACGTCATTCAGTTATGTTTCGACTATTTAGTGCTAGAAAACAAACAATCTTTATATATAATCAGTTAATGAATAAAATATTGTGACCAGATATCTATTTAGTTATGAGATTATTAGGAATCAATTTAGCGTTTCGATGCACTTAGCTTTTTGTACACGACAAGTATTTGCACAGGTTTGTGTTTTGTCAGTTAGTCCAGCTTACAAGAATTCAGAAAACATGAGTTTTGTTTAAAAAAAGACGTGAAGTCAGACTGTAGTCTAAATGTTTCTGCTTAACATTTAGCGGATAACACTAACCCAACTGATAATTGCTGCCCTGATGTGATGGTCGGGTTTGTACAGTGACCCAACGACCTGTGCTGGTTGGACGCTTATTCCCTCGAGATCTTACCATACCAGAAAGTATTTCCAGTCAAAGTGTAAATTACTACACTATGATGCGGGTATAAGGAAGTAGTCGTACTGCTTCTAGCTGGATGGGGTGTGACAGAAGTAAGATATTACCTTAAGAAAAAATAGCCTTTCACGTTCTGGGCAGATGGGAAGTGTCAACTGCTCACACATTCTCATTAGTATACAAGATCCAGTCAAACATAACCTATCCTCTCCGATTTTTTACCCCTTCTTTGCCTTCACCTCATGGTTTTAAAGTTAAGCCCCTTGCGTCTTACCAAGCCTCTCATTCTGCAAAAAAATGCCAACAATCAACGTCGTCGAAACCTCATTCCTAGTCTTCTACGACTCCACCCCCGTCATCGATTTAATATAGGAGCTTTGAACTTTCGAACGCTACAACAAATCGAAAGGCAAGTATAGCTCTCCAGAACTCTGAAATCTCAAGCCATGGGCGAATGTTTTCTCTAAGACACGTATAAAGGACCCGAGTGTGGTTATTAACTGGACCTCACCTGGCCATAAAAGCATATATTCAAAATTTACACAATGTTCAGCTATCGTAGACTCACCGGTGTACAGATGAGATTTAGTCGTAGAGTACAAAGTGATCTCTCCGGCCAGTTTTCAGTCAACAGCCGTCTGTTAGATCTATAAGAACTATGAAGGATTGTGAAATCAACCGATGCCTATTCGTATTCTGCACCTACGCACCCATCGACTGTAGCTGGGATGATGCAAAAGATGAATTCTATGAGAAGCTGTCAATTCTACTAAAGAAAGTAAGACATTCAGATGTAGTCATAATGACGGATGCATTTAACTCTCATGCAGGGAAGCTGAATTAATGGGAGAGGTATTTCAGAGGTATTTACAGAATCTCATGCCAACGAACCGACATTGGTGATTTTCTCTTACAATTTTGTTTCGACAGTCACTTATTTCTGGTTAATACTGACTTTAAACACAGGAAGAGACACTATATCACATAGCATCCATTGACTTCAAACAGACACTGAACATAGATAGATCGCATTGCTATAAACTATTGTTAGAGAGGATCGGTGACGGATTGTCGCTCTATCTGGAGTACAAGTTTGGACTCCAATCACACCCTATTGCGGGCTGGTGTATGTCTGTGCCATACTAGCCGCAGGAAACAGGGGAAAAGAAGGCCCACCTGTGCTTAACTGGTGGGTGAGAACTTTAAGTACTTATTTAAGAAAGAGGTAGCTGAGCATTTAACTGAACGTGACAGCAATGCTCATCCTGAGGAAACCTGGTGGGATATTAAGTTTGCTGTGGAAACAGCTGTAAAGACAGTTGGTAACATACATAAGAAGGTAAGCATAAACGTCATTGGCTTTTCGCAACGTCATCCGAACTGATTCACATGAAAAGACTGATTCCACGTCGTGAGACTCCTTGCTCTTTTCCTTAATTCCACTGTCCAAAAGATTATTACGAAATTCCGAACTTTGCATTCATGATTTCAGTTTTTACCAGTAGCTTAATAATGCGATTATGTCCTATTCTATATTAATATGTTTGTATTGTGCATATAAATATGATTGTTTACAGCTTTAGAAAATGATGTCGTTGAGAAAAAAAAACTTTTTTTCACTAAATTATCTTCCCTTTTTCTTAACACCGAATCCCATAGGCTTGAATAATTTAATCATAACATCGCTGAGTACATCACTAGATGATATAAATTTGAATTGCAGGGAGGATGTTGTTTCCCTCTGAAAGTTGCAGATACGTCTTACTGACAAAGTTCAACAAATGCAAAACTTAGATGAGGAAGGATTTCTTGCCGATCATCTCCAACCAAATGATGAAAGTCTTTATTGTTAATTACTGTTTCATAGTTGACATTGTTGAATGTGGATTTTAACAGCGTTTAGTTCACTGTACAGAAAGAATTGTGCACTGTTTCAATGGGTGTTGGTTTTATTACGTTCGGTATTCCCTGGGTCATTAACTGTCTTATTACTTATGATATTAGATTTATTAACGTGTGACAATAATCGACACTATTTGGATTCATTTTTTATAACATCATTCATTATGGACTGAGGGCACTGGACGGCTGTTTCGTCCTAGTACGGGACTTGTCAGCAGCACGCACTCACGATCCGGCAAGGGATTGAACTCAAGACCTCCAGGTTTCACGGCGAACGCGTTAACCACTAGACCACTTATCCACAATTCCTAGCTTCGATCAATTCGCAATATAGTGCGACTATCACCCAAGGTCTTCACTTGGCATCCGCTACCCTTTCGACTTGCCAATGCAATAGTTCAGAAGGGAAGCGGATGCAAACTGAAGACCTAGGGCTGATAGTTGCAATATATAGCGAAATAACCAGAGCTTGAAACTGTCGCTGAATGGTAAACACGTTCGCTGTAAAAACCGAAGGTTCTGCTTTACATCCCTGGCCGGGTCATGGGTGTGCAGTGCTAGGAAACAGCTGTCTCGTACCCCCAGGTTTTCAATAGTTCCCCAAATGATGTCAGTCCATGATGAACAGTACTTCTGAGTCAAAAACCCATTCATCTCTAGAATACATTATTCACTCCATCCGCGATATTTATTAAATATACAAATAAACAAATGTTACCTCTTTTGCTTTTGATTCAAGTACAAGTCTTTCAGTAAGCCATGCTTCTTGTTCCCCTTCATACTGTTCTTTAATGCTTCGATAACGTCGTTGATAATCGATTACATTATTATGTAATGATTCATTTTGTACTTTTAATTCTGCATTGGCCCGATTTAACATACCAATGTGTTCATTCAGTAGAGTGATTTTTGTTGTAGGCTGTTGAGCTGCGATTGCTTTGGCATACGTATTACCCATGTTTAAATTTGAAAGGTAACCAGTTATATCCTAAAATATGAATGAAGAGAATTGGAAAATGAACTAAACTTACTTGACGGCCAATCACGTTCAAGTATACACTGACCAATCAGAATCAAGTATTTGAAGGGCAATATAATAATTATGGAAAATGGTATCTTTTTTATTTACAATTGATAAAAATATGTAGATTTTCAGTAGGTTTGTCATCTGTGAGGCTAGAGATCATAGCATATCCCATTGTGAACAACAACTTGATGGCGGTAATCTATTCCAGTTAATGGTATGTATGACTTTCAAGTATCTGTGTATATTGTGATACCCGATATTACCCGCTTTTCTGTAACTGGTAGGATAGATTTTATGATCTATTCACTATCTACTGAAAGTGTCATTTATTCATACCAAGAATCTGTTACTTCATAAGATGAGTATATACAAATAACACAGTCATGTTTGAGTCGTCTTACTTGATTATACTTACGTTTTCAAACAAGATATTCATCTATTTCCACCATACTGCCTACTTCATCAAACTTCACGTACAACGTGCACATTATTTCAGAGAAAATATTTACATGCTACTGATACCACAGTATCTATCAGAGCTTCTGTTGATATCACAAGTGTTACAACCGTCGTTGATAGGACCGAATTGATCAGGCTCTGTTGGCATATGCGCATCCTGGATTCCACTGCTAGCCACTACCCATCATTACTAAACATCCAATGTAGTGTTAAAATCATTATTTGCTGCAGAGTCAGACGAGATTCTTTGAAAAATGATACTGTTCTCAAAGATGAAACCATCTCCTTTCTCACTGTTTGATGCACAGTCCATTACAACATCTCATTCACAATTAAAACTTTTTGTAAGCAATCCAACTCACTGCAAGTAATCTACAACCTATTCTCTGTCTTAATTTATCAAACATTTATACAGCGTCAACAATATGGTAAATGAACACAATGAATGACCTTGAATGTAACCTCCGCAGTCTTATTGATCGTCCTCAAGGTTTACTTCTATCAGTAATCACTTAATAATTTCCAATGGTATTACATGATTGTATGACAAGTTAATTTAGCAACACATTTATGTAAGTTACTAATCATTCAGTTTTGCAAAGAAGGAGAACAGCTTTCCTGGATTAACTAAATGAGTCAAAGATTCTAGCTTCTGTAGTTATCTCATCTCCAGAAAGAGTTTTGGGATTACAAACTCGAGAAAACCAAACCGCTTGGAAACCTGAACGTCAATGAGTCGATAAAATATTCAACCTCTGGTAGATTCTTAAACACATAGGTGCATACTTACATGTAGGTGTTATTTGACTCTGTTAATTGGAAATTATTTTAGCAGTTTGTGTCTGAGAAAGTAGTTGGATTAGGGCTTACAAAGAGTTGTCAACCAGCAGTGTCTGTATCGATGTCCATTGTCAATATTCTGTTTTATCTTCATTAAAGATGGACTGATGAATCTAATAAAATGTGTGTCTAACTTCATGATGGCTGACTTACTACCTAGGGGACATCAGCTTGACCTAGAGTAGACAGACAACATAATCCACTTAGACGAAGATACTGACAAAAAGAAGAGTCTTCTAAATGCCTTTAGTGGAAATCTGTGTACGCCTGGCATATGGTTCATCACACTTCTCAGAACTGGTCTTTAGCAGCTCCTAGTTTAAATATACAGATTGAAGTGGTAGGATGCGTTGACCAGCTGAATTAGCTCAAATAAGGTGGTAGGTAATGATTCAAAAGGCTCTTTCGATACTTTTCAAGTGACACCGCATAAGTCGCCGGTGAAATATCCAATGTGTCACATTAAACACTTGCGAGAAAAACATGACAAGAGGTCACAGATTTCTGATCATAGGTAACTTCGTAGCACTGCTCACTGGTAATGGAATCACCTTGGTGTTGATGTCAAGCTTAGACATTAGATATTAGAAGATTTGATCAATTTTGGCCCTTAGATAGACTTATAATTTGACTTTAATGTCATCTGCAGAATATGTGGGGACCTCTTGAAAGCTGTGTGAAGAAAGCTTCTTCAAAGAATACTGCCCGGTCATTAGACTTACAGTGGACTTAACTTGTGTTAAGGTTTTACCACCCTCCTTACTACCCTATTACTCCTCATGTCCACATGATACATCCTTCTAACTTACCAGTCTAATGGTGTTCTATGCTGACCTGAATGTCCTATTTCCCTTCCCCCACTTGAGTCAGTGTAGTGGAGACAAGTTTTTCGACTACTACCCACTGCTTTACATGTTGAAATTTGAAATAAGGTAATTTGACATTTTTCCTATCATCAGGTCAGTATTTCCATATTTCTATGGCGACGTCATCATAGAGTGTCAGTCAGTGTAGGTGTAATGGCTTTCTACACTGCACTAAGATGTGTTTTGATGTAATTGTTTAGCCTGAAGGCGTACCATCGAACTCTTTAATACATGAATAGTAAAATTATAAGCATCCAGGCCATAGTTTTTACGAATGTCGTGAAAGAAGTTGAGCATTAAGTCAGGTAAGTTTTAATATGATCCTAGGGTGTTTAGAAAATCTAAACAAGATTTTTCTGAAGATTCCGCTGTGTATCCTACAGCTTCTTGACCAAAATATCCCGATATTTTTATGCATAAAAATAGATACTAAGTTGTGGCTACCAGAAGAATCCAGGAAGTGCGTTTCTACGGATTTGGGAACGAAGAATTACAAGCATATCAGCGAAACTAATACCCATGATATATATATATATATATATATATATATATATATATATATATATATATATATATATATATATATATATATATATATAAGTGTTGGGCTGAAGACGAAGACCTAATTGAAAAGGAATATATTTCTTCACTTGCTTGCTTGGTCAGTCTTTTTAAAAACTATAATTGGACGGCTGGTTCATTTAACCGCCCATGAATATCTTCTGAAATGGTGGTCTATTTTAAGCCAGTCATTATAACTACTGATAATGCGTAAAGGCAGGTTTCATATATATTTCCATTATTCCACTATCAAGACATTAACTTTTAAAAGAATCTTCTTATTTAGTGTTATTGCTTGTATTACACCATCGTTGACTGAACCGAATTGATTAGTCTCTGTTGGCATATGGGCTCCTTTGCGGATGTCTCGATATTGCCTATGTTTCAATTATGTACAGCAATGATGGATAGTGGATAGCAGTGAAATCCAGGATGCGCATATCGTCCTATTTGGGACTCGTCAGCTAGATGTACCTGCCTCCCAGTGAATGATGTTGTTCTCACCGGGATTCGGACTCGGAAGCGATCGCTTCAAATGCATCATTATTATATGTAATCTTTCTATTTATCAAACAAATACTACTTACTTTTCTACCTCTTTCTTCAGACGTATGCCGTTTGTCCAACTTATATCGTAATTTTTTCAATTCAGTATATAAATCTTCTTTTTCTCTTTTTGTCAAGGATAATTCTCTTCTAAGTTTATCCACTTCGAAACCACGTCGATTCAACATTAAATCCCGATTGTTTGTAATAGTTGAATCTTGAATGAAATCAGGATTATTATTGTTGTTACCATTCATATGAACTGCTTCTTCCATACGTTTACGTAAATTTTTCAACTCTTGTTCTCGAGTCATTAACCTGTTTTTTTTTCAGTGAAAACCAAATAATTAACTGATATATTTCTTACAAAGATGAAATTATTCAATAAATTACCACTATCATCACACGAATAACTATACAAATTAGTGATTTTTCAAGTTGGTATACATCATAGAGTGATGTTGATTAGAGGAACATTGGAAAACTGGAAGCACTTGGCAACCAACTATTTCGTCCTAGTATAGGACTCCTCAGCAGTGCGCACCCATGACCCCGCCCCTCTCTACCAGGAATCGAAACCAACACTTCCAGATTCTGTGGCCAATTAGCCACTGCGTAGGAATACAGTAGTTCATATTTCCAACTTCTGTCAGTTCACGGCATTGCGTGACAATCTTTCAATATTGTACTCAAGGTTACTAGGTTTACCATATTGGTGGCAACTTCTCATTGGAACTACAGAAATCACGTGTTGAAACTAGTCACCAATGAGAACTAGATCAATTGAACTTGGGGGTTTGTCTGGATTCAGTGAATTTTTAAGTCGGTATTAATCATTCAAGTTTCTCTCTCTCTCTGTCATCATCATCATGGATTGACATCAGTTGGGGAACCATTAAAAACCTGGAAGCACTGGACAGCTGTTTCGTCCTAGTATGGGACTCCTCGGCAGTACGCACCCTCCACCCGGCTAGGAACGAACTCAGGACCCTCAGGTTCCACGGCGAACGCGTTAACCATTCAGCCACTGGCTTGGTTCCCAGTGGTTCACAATTTCCAACTTCTGTCAATTCACGACTGCGCGACTGTCACCCAAGTTCTTCAGTTAGCATCCACTTCACTTCCGACTAGTTGGCCCCATAGATCATGGCTTCTTATTAGAACTTCATGACATCCATCTGGAAGCAAGTCACTAATGAGCACTATAGAGTAATGTATTTTTGAGATCAAAGGGGATTTTTAATTTAGAAGTAGTATTCATCATGGACTGATATCAGATGGGGAACCATTAAAAATCTGCGAGCAATGGACAGCTGAATATATATTATATTAGGTCTTCGTCTTCAGCCCAACACTAATGTATATATATATATATATATATATATATATATATATATATATATATATATATATATATATATATACGAATGTAGAGCTTGAGAATAAATTCGTTGTAAAATAGTCGTCTTCTTCGCTGAATATCTTATTTGTGATATTCTGTAACACACAACCATCGCCAGAACAGCCTGGCATAAATATTAACAGTTAGTCTGTGTTTTTTGGTATGTTTTGTAGCTTCATTTTATTTACTTATTCGAAAGAAGGGTTTATGGATAAATCTCACTTTTCTACTTCACCAATTCCCGCTTTACGCCAACATTGAATTTTCAAAGTTTTGTAGGCATCCTGCAGACAGAGAAATTATCCAATAAGAAATGAGTTACTTTGAAAGTGAGCCTTGTCGATAGTGTATCTGGTTGATGACTGATGTGTGTTTTATTTCGCTTCGTTTGCTATTTTTTTAACAAAGGGTTTATACTACTTATAATTGACAAGTAGTAAGGATCATAATAACTAGCTTGTTTCCGAATATATTTATAGAAGAGTGAAGATAGGTCAGAACTAGTGTGCTATCCCTTGAGTATGCTAATTACGGTATTGTAGAGATTTAATATTTAGAAGTACGTGCATAAGGTCGTATATGCTTGATCATGGTCTGTCCTAATGACCGTTATGTAGTGAGCCTTGAGTGAAGTGGATGCTGGTTATCTGATAAAATACCTGCTACCAGATGGCTATATGAGTTAAGATACTTGTCCACAACAGCTTCAGTGAGAAGGTTTAAGGGTACACTACTCTAGTTTGGTGACCATCTTCAATGTCGTACACAATTTCACATAGTCTTTTCCTGCAATCTAGGAGAGAATACTAGGGGAACAATCTGGGAGAGAATAGTCGAGATGCAGGACTTATGTACAACACAAGAGAAGAGACTGAGTCATACCAGATACTTTCATCTCTTGACAAACCTAACACACTGGGGTGATGCACAATGTTAACTTGTTTTTAGATAGATCTGATGTTTCCATTTCACCATTTCGTGTTTTACGCCAACATTGAATTTTGGAGGTTTTGTAGGAATCCTGCATCCAGAGAACTTATGCAATAAGGAGTGAGTTATTTTGAAAGTGAGCCTTGTTGATAGTGTACTTGATTGCTGATAATCTAATCATCTATGATCCATGCATACATGGAAGATGTTGAGTTATAAGGACTATGTGACAATGAGATATACAGGAGTTATATAAAAGATGATATAAACAGTTTTGTAAGGTTGTATTCATCATGGAGTGATATCATTTTGAGGAGTGTTGAAAATCTGCAAGTACTGGATAGTTGTTTCATCCTGGTATAGGGTTCCTAAACATTGTGCGCATAGTCGTCGAAAAGAGTCCTCTCGGGTGAATATCTTCTTTTTGATGTCAAAATGGGAGTTATTAATGTTGATATATTGTTGCCATGTTTGACAAACCCAAATTTGAATTATCAAAAACTCTAACAGATGTGGTGTGTTAATTAACGACTTTACAACATCAAGAATTAGATAATCGAAAAAGGACTATTCGATGAAATAATTCTCTTCCTTCTTCTTCTGTTGCGTATTATTTTTGTTTCCATAGATTCTTTCATCCGAGACCAATCGCTTCAAAACCTGAAGTGTCGTCAACTTAACTACTGAGTTATGATACTACATAGATTAGTCACTTGGCAGTTCAGCATCGCGATGCACTTTGACAGATGTTAACTGAATGGAAGCAAACGACAGGAAAACCTGATCCTTTGATTTCGTGCACGGTGTATCCCCTCTCCAGTGACCAATCGCTGTCTTTAATTCAGTTGTACCGAAGGTGAAACACTGCTTGAACAGCTTAGTTATAAAGTCACTGACCCCAACACTTGGTGAAGTGGGTTCGAATGTCATAGTAAGAAAGCAATTCCCTCGACATTTGTGATACACCTTAGTGATGAACCCCAAAAAATGCGAATCTTTAGAGGAGTAGAACGTCTTGTCAATCGCTTCCAACCAACCAATGTCTACTGATTATTCAAAATGCGAAAAAGACTAAAAATAAGGGAAAACATTTAACCAAATCTAAAATTACCTTTCTTTTAATTCTTCAAGTCTTTTTTCTGCTTCAACACGTTTTGATTCAGCAGTCTCACATTGAAGTTTTACACTTTCATTATTCTGTCGTGACTCTTTCAGATAAGCATGAAGTTCAGTTAACATTTTATCCTTGTCCACTATTGCATTACGTAACTGAATTATTTCATTGCCAAGATGTTTCATTGTATCTTCATTCTGAGTTGCTATTCTTTTCCATTCTTCTTGACTAGATTTCGTTTCTATAGTAGTTAGTAAACAGATTAACACCAGTTACTTATAAGTATTACTGCAATGCGGGAAGGCAGCTGGAGCAAATGGACTGCCTCCAGAAGCACTGAGAACAGACGCAAAGATATCAGCGGACATCCCCACACCACTGCTGCACAAGGTTTAGAATGAAGGAAGGAAAGGTCCCTGCTCACTGATTAAAAGAAGCGCTACCTTGCCAAACTCCCGAAGAAAGAAGACCAAAGTCTTTCCAAGAACTGGCGAGGAATCATGCTCCTGTCCACACCCAAGCAAAATATTAAGCCGCATCATTCTGGAAAGACTAAAGGATGCCCCGGATTCAAAACTACCACCGGAACAGGCTGGCTGGATTCAGCAAGTACAAATCATGTGTGGACCAAATTGCAACGCTACCCTACGCATCATCATAGAACAGAGTATAGAATGGCAGTCAAATCTCTCTCTCAACTTCATCGACTTTGAAAAGGCCTTCGAAAGCGTCGACCAACAAGTAATTTGGCAACTGCTTCAACACTAAGGTTTTAGTACCACAAACCTTTATCAACCTCATTTAACAACTATATGAAGACGCCACATGCCAAGTGATTCACAATGGGAAGCTCAGTGATGTCTTTGAAGTGAAGTGAAGACAGGAGTAAGACAGGACGAGGCTGTCTACTATCACACATGATCCCCCTGATTGTGTTGAACTGGATCATGCAACAAAGAGTGAGGAGCGAGAAGAGGGGGATAGGCAAGCTGGATCGGGGAAACGATGTAAGAAGATTTGGATTTCACCCATGATGATTTGTGTCCAATGTCACACAAACTTGAAGATCTACAGGCAAAATCTAACAAGTTGACAAAGAGGCAGGGTAGGACAGTGAAGACGGGAATTCAAGTGAACGTGGAGGAGACAGAGATGATGATAAGATCCCACCAAACACCATCACCAACAACAAGAAGCTGCAATCACCATGGACGGGAGAAACCTAAATGAAGTTGTCTCTTCCACCTATCTAGACAGCATTGTTTCAACTACAGGAGGCGGAACAGATCAGGACGTCAAATCCAGCCAGGATAGGAAAGACAGCAAGACAGGCCTTCATGCATTAACCCGAAACCAGTGTGGAGATCTACTGCAGTGCACTGCACTGCACTGCACTCAGCATAAAGCCTGAACAAGATCCAGATTTTCAACACCAACGTCAGTGAAGTCAGTGCTTCCGTGTGATGTTTGGGAAACTTGGCGCGTTACGAAAGCGATTTCTAACAAACTACAGACATTCATCAACAACTGTCTACACTGGCTCGTTACTGAAGATGAGATGAGGTGGCCAGAATAATGAGAATAAGAAGGAAGGGACTCTGGCTGACAACAAACCAACCAGGTACTCATCACTCAACGAATATGCAGAAGGAAGTTCAGATGGATTGGGCTCACACTGAGAAGACCGATTGGGGACATCACGCACTAGGCCAGGTCCTTGAGTGGAAGCCAGATGGGAAACGAAGAGTTGGCATCCTAGCTGAGGGTGACATGGAGGAGATGGTGTGAGGAAGAAATGAGAGCTTGTGGGTAGGCAGTCGTGTAGGCAGATTGAAAATATTGCAGAGAAGAGAGTGGAGTGGAGACGTGCTACTGAAGCCTTATGTTCCACTGGGAACTCTGGGGATGAATAAATAAACTTTAGAAAGCGCATATGTATATGTATAATATTTGAGTTCAACCAAATTTGGACATTTTCTCATAGATAGGGACAACTATTCAACACTCAATTTGTTTACTTTTAATGGGGGATTCTAGTCATTTCAAGGTAATATTCATCACAGGCTGACATAATTTAGAGAATCGTTAAAAACCTGGCAATTCTTGGCAGTTCCAGTGAGACGGTATTGTTTGTTGACAGTCGGACCAAATACGACAGGTTAAATTAATCAGAGATAAGAATGATATTATTACAAGTCGTCCTTATAAAGGAGGAGGCGTTGTGCTTATGAATCATTAGGAGTATATTGATAAACGCTTGCTAATCCTTTCTGATCACACTAGGTTTGCTCAACCAACAAGACATATAAAACTGAAATACAACTCACAAGTGTCTTAAGAAGCATGGGGGATAAGTCAATAATTAGCCCTGATTTATATGAACGTATCCATAATTCCTTATCTATGTAGAGTACCAAAGATACAAAAGCGGAATTATCTGTTCTTCCGATCTTGGATATGGTTAGTTCTCATTATTACCGAACAGCTCAATGGTTAGCTGAAATTCTGAAACCTGTTAGAAGGCAAGAGTCAAGTTTTCCTAACCGTGATACATTTCAGTATTTTGAGTGTATTAAGGACTTTAATACTTTAGCCAAGGTCATGTTTCCACCAGAGGTTATTCCATTGTTCACAAGTGTGCCACTCACTGAAACTGTCTGTTATATATGTGACTATATTGGTACTCATAATTTAGACGTAGAACTGCAAACCAGCTGCATGAAACAGTTTTTGTTGAGGTGCACATTTATTGTTCACTTTGGTTTCAGGAATGAAATCTATCGTCAGAAAGATAAGACTGTTATGGGATCATCATTGGGACCACTTTTAGCAGACTTTTTCATATCGAGCTACAGAATTCTCGACCTTGTCAAACTATTAATCGCCATAACTTTTACAGAAGATATATAGATGACCCGTTTGTTATCTGTGACAAAGATGTTGATTTAGATCGTGTTCTTCGTTCGTTCAATTTATGTCATTCAGCCCTCAAGTTTACCATAGAGAAAGAAACAGAATCAACTATTCCTTTTCTTGATGTGGTTCTCACTAGACGTAAGAATGGATACCTCACAAGATTCATATACAGAAAAGCAGTGTGGAACGGACAACTAACTAGTTTTTATGGTTGGGTGCCTATCAGCAGAAATCGAAATCTTATTCACTCTCTCTGCTATCGAATAAGAAATATCTGTATTGAAGATTATATTGATGAAGAGCTATCATTTTTAAAAAGCACATTTGTCGAAAACGGTTACCCTAGCCATTTTATGCATAAAAATATACATGAGAGAAATACAACACGAATCATCCACTCGGTCTCAAAGAAGAAACTGTTTATGAGCCTAGAATTTAAAGTTGACCTAGCATCAGATGTACTCAAGAATCGTCTATGCAAATCAGTCAATAGAACTTTCTTCACAGTAAGACTTCGAATGACGTTTGCCAGTCGTAAACTGTTCTGCGTTTGTGTCAGAGATAAGCCCCCTTGTTCAGCCACCTTTATGTGCATCTACCAGTGTACCTGCTCTTGTGGAGCAAGGTACATCGATTGTAACCGGAGAACGCTTTCTACACGTATGCGAAAACTTTTTCCTCTAGAAAACATTAATTTCATGTTGACCAACTTGTCCAATCTTATTACATAATAGCTAAGTGATCTATCACTTTCATCAACTTTTCGCCTTTTTCTGAGTTATGCACCTTCCATGAACCATTCCATATATTACATAATCTACTTCGTTATCATTCATACTTCAATTGTTATCATAATCACATATACCTGTGTGATCATCCCTTTTATTATTATTGTCATCATAATCATATAGTAATCATGGATAGCGATAAGTAGTGGAATCCAGGATGCGCATTTTGTCCTAATATAAGCGATAATAATAATAATAATGCTAATAATATCGTGTTTAGTTTTCCTCAAGGGATATAATTTTTCAAATATTGTAAATATATGAATGTGAGGCTTGGAAATAAATTCGCTGAAGAGTCTCTTCACTGAATGCCTTGTTATGAATAGTATGTTGACCAGAACAACTGCCAGTAACTTGCTCAAATATTTCGTCTTACAAGTGTAGCTACTTATTTAGTCTTTTAAGTAGAACTATAAAATGTCTAAATTAATGCCTCGATGTTGAACATAAACTGTCAACGAACGGAAGTATAGAGAACTATTTAAAGCAAAATTTCTAGACTTTGTTTTTAGACTAATCTAAAAAGTAAAAATAAATCTCACCCAAACAGAAAATTGGTTTAGATCTTTTCTGTATGTTCCTAAGCGGAGAAAAGCACCGTGTATTCTGTGTCCTCATGGGAGATGAGTGGTGACATAAGTAGAAAATAAGTTAACTGTGTGATATAAAAGTCCAAATGTATATATCAATAGAAGATTGTGAGAAAAGTAACTAACCTTTCAAATCTTGTGTTGCATTGTTCAACTCCATTCGTAATCTTTCAATCTCTGCAATTTTAGCGCTTAACCGACCAGATGCTCCACTGATTTCTGCAGCTTTCGCTTGGGCTAAAACACGTTTTGTCTGTTCCAACTGGAAAATCAGAATAGATTAATGAATTCATCGCGGCGTGGTCAAGAGTGAAGGGGCAACGAAATACTAAGCTATCATTTACAAGGTGATAGATAGCAATGGAATACAAGGCGCGTGCCTCATCAAACATGAACGCACAAAGTGAATGTATCGGCATTACATGGAGTGATGTATCACCCACTGAGAGTCGAACTAAAACCATTATGTAGAAGTAATTAAGATAACTGTAGGATTTTTGAACGTGGGTTTGGACAACCAGATGTTATTGCCTCAACCAATTTTCAAATTTTACAAGTATAATTTGTCCCTTGGAATCAGAGTGAAACATAAGGCTTCGGTAGAACATCGCCATTTCACTCTATCCTCTCCAGTCTTATAAAACCACATATACAATTCCCCACAAGCATACATTTCAACATCACACCATATACTCCACATCACACTACAACACCAAACTCGTCGTCTCCATTTACCTTCCACTCAACCACCTGGATTGATTCGCCTGCTTCCTCACCTCAAAAAACCCTCTTCTCAATCCATATCCAATACAATACAATACAATCCATACCCACCTTATTCACCTGCACATCTGTTGGACAACAACTTCTTCCTTCGTTGGCTTGTTGCTAGTCACAGTCTCTCCTTGATTATTCCAACTCGCCCCATCATCTCATCTCATCTCATGTCATCTCATCTCATCTGTAGTATGGAGTGAGCGTAGTTGGCAGGTGTTGATGGATGTCTGCAGTTTGTTGGAAATGCTTTTCGTAAGGTGTCGAATCTCTCACCCATCATATGGAAGCACTGACTTGACTGACATAGTGTTGGAAATCCGGATCTTCTCTATGTTGAGTGGAGTAGATCTGCACACTGATTTCAGGTTATTGCACGAAGGCGTGTCTTGCTGTCTTCCAGATACTGACTTTGACATCGTCATCTGTGCTGCAGCTGTAGTTGAAACGATGCTGCCTAGGTAGGTGGGTTGATGAAAGAGACAACTTCGTTTCGATTTCTCCAGTTGATGATGACTGGCGATTGTTGTTGTTGTTGGTGGTGGTGGTTGGGTATCTTCACCACTTGTGTCTTCTCAACGTTCACCTGAAGGGAGTCCCATCTTCGCTGCCTCACCTCACCTCACCTCACTTCACTTCACTTCTTCTGTCAACTTGTTAGTTGTCGCCTGTACATCCTTGAGTTTGTGCGACATAAGACATTAGACATAAATCATGATCGGGGGAAATCCAAATCTTCTGTGGTCTTTCCACCGGTCGAACAGCGTATGCCCTTCTTCTCTAAGCTCCTCACAGTTGTTTCTTGTGTGATCCGGTCCAGTTGAGTCCAGTTCAGTCCAGTTGACCACACTGAGGCTGATGATCGGTGGTAGTAGGCGGCAACCTTGTCTTACCTGTCAACCTGTGTTTATTTCGAGGGGATTAACTGAGCTTTCCATTATGAATCACCTAGCATATAGCATCATCATAAAGCACATAGCTGCTGTTGACTGATGTTGATAAAGTTTCTTGATGCTAAAGTAGTAGTGTTGAAGCATCTGCCGAATTACTTCTCTTTCGACGCTATCGAACGCCTTTTTAACTTGGATAAATTTGAGTTGGAGGATTGACTGCCATTCTATAGATTAACACTGGGTTGTAAAATTGTCTTGCTGGTAGCTGACAATTGTCTATGACTTTCGAAATTTTTTATCACTTATGTAGCATATAAACACCAGTGTCAAATTTCGAGAGTTCGTCGTCATAATAAAAGACTACTGCTCTGATTAAATTGCCTAATTTTCACCATCTTCTAAAGATTAGTATGCATATTGTATTAGAATTCAGCTGTGTATCTTCTAAGTTTAACTCGGACATCAGAGATAGTTGCATAGTATTGGTGGATAGAAATAGATTAACAGTTGAGAGCATGACATATTGAAACACTTGTTACTCAGCTCTCATTAGATCTTTGTTGAGACTCTAGTGAAAGATACTACTGGTAAATAACTTGAGTAGTTAGAAACTGCTTAGGCTGATACAAAGCTTTCGTTTGCCGAATCATAGTGATCTAAACATTAAATGGCAGTTTTGTCTCTTCAGGACCAGGTCAACTTATCAGCCGTGTATCCGGAAACATTCATCTCATACAGTCGAATTAGTTCAGATCACCTGAATTTAGCTAACTAGGATGAAATTGCAAAAATTATTTAGATGATATGAGTTTGGAGTGAACATTTTCTTGAATCATTGAACCCTTCAAAGACTATTCAGCTGATCAGATCTGATACCCTTACGTAAGTTCTAACAGGAGGCCTTGATTAACGTTATGTACTTGCTCAGTACTTCCTTCATAGTCAGACGCTGCCAAAACACCTCATAGTTGACAGAATTGAATGCCGCTCTCGGTTCAAGAAATATGGTAAGTGTTAACCGGTGGTCAGTATACCTGTGTTCCAGAAATTGTTGGACGCTGAAAGTATGGTCGATTCACCCTCGTCCAAGTAGAATGGAAGTGAAGTGAAGATAAAACTACTTAGCAAAAATAAACGCTGTATAATATTTTAGGTTGGAATTCATCATGGCGTGACATCATTTGGAGGAACATTGGAAACCTGTAAACGCAGGACAGGAATTCTGGATGATTGGATTCCGACCCAGCGGCTCAACAGTAACGTTATACTGATCACGGAACATAAGGTTCCTGGGTTCGAACCCTAGCGGGTCCTTGGGTGCTCACTGCTGAGGAGTTTCATTCTAGGAGGAAACAGCCAGTTATCCAGTTCCTTTAGATTTCCAGTGTTCCTCCAACTGATGAATTCCGATCTAAAATCAATTATTAAACCTCCAGATAGTGATCATATTTGCTGCGAAAGGGATTGAACAAAACGGTTATCTACAATGAATTCAGGATCCTCTTTTTGAATAGTCAAAGCTTCTGTTGTATAAAGAAGACTTAAGTGAAATCCATTTCAATGACTTAATCCTACTTAATATGTCATATAGAGTGAGTTATATGAAGAGGATATGTGGCCTGACAGTACAATAAGTTCCATAGTAGGACTTTTTATTGACCTGCGCTGTTTTGTATGATTACCATGCCATTTATGGGCACATCTTGATAGGATACTGATGATATGGCCTATTTACCAAGTACCTCTCTAGTCATCTTTTGATATCACACGGTTCACATTACAAATTCTGTTACATAATGCTCAGATGACGTAAGTATATATTCTTTTCTCTTCTAAACACTGAATACATAAAATATGTCCAATGATTCACTTTACCTCTCGTTTCATTTGTTCCATAGACGATTTATGCGCACGAATTTCACTATTACGTTTTTCTAGTTCATCATCTTGTTCAAATATTGAATCTTCTCTCAATTTCAATTCCTCTTGAAGTTCTCTATTCTCTTTGACCAGTTTCTCTTTGAATTTTTCAGCTTGTGTAAGATTATTACGTATCTGTAAATGAGTATAGATTGAAAATATGAGTAAGTGAACATGTAAAGGAATTACTTTTCCTCTCTTGTCAAAATTTATCTCCTTTATCAGTGAACTGGAAGTGAAGCTTGAATAGTAGTTAGGTGTTCATTAGTGAATTCGCGTAAAATACTCCGGCGCTGGACTCGAAGATGCTCCGATTCCGGTCATACACCTTGCAGATTTTCCTTCCTAATTTACTACATTATTCGGTACCATAGTATGTAGTTTTACGCCTTTGATTGGTTAGCTCTAAAATACACTTTAGTGGCAATAACACTACTCATCAAGAGGTAGGCCATTTATGGCACCACCGCTATATCCAATTGTCTGTTAAGGGTATATATGGCTGTGAAATGTGGCCAATAAAGGTAGAAGACATGAGAATAATTTAGGTGTTTAGCCACTACTGTTTCGTCATGTCACCATGTGGGTAACACAGAAGTCAGGCGTAGATTTTTAGGGAGGAGAGGTAGAACGGTTGATGCCGTTATGAACCTTTACCTAAAGAGATGGCTGTCTGGAACATGTGTTACGTATGTCTAGTCATCGTCTACCTCGTCACACAATATTGGCTGAAGTAGGTTTAGACTGGAAAAAGACACGCGACGATCAGATTGAAACATGACATCAATGTATAAAGTCCTTAACTGTTGGTTTGAGCCATGTAGGGCGATGTAGACTACCCTGTTGTAATCCGTGGGACAACAGAAACCAATGGTCGCTGGAGGCTTTAGGTGATATGCATCAGAACTAATGTTAGTGGTGTAGATGTACGTACACACATACATTATCCTCTTCTTAACCACTATCCTTAGTCTCATCATTTTCTCAATCCTCTTTCTTTTCTTTTACTATATTTCTACTTCTCTTCATCGACTGGTCTTTCCTTCCTCACCTTCCATTTTATTGCCTTGTTACTTCATACGCTGATATATAAGGTGTGATAACTTCGACCATTACGTATTAATGTCTGATCCTATGTTAATCTTGATGATGATGGGAGATAGGCACATTCAACTGACAACTCCGAAATAAAACGAAACGTGTAAGCCCAATTCAGCTGACAGCTATTGTCCATCATTCTTAATTTACCACTCCCCTTATAAAGTTATCTGATTTTTGCAAGTTTGAGTGACATTTCCTAGAAATAAGTCAGCTTATAGAGACGATTACGAGGTTGAAATCAATATAGGCTGCATTTATGATGCAGTCCAAGCATATTCAGGAAACTTAATAAAATTTATTTTTGTTCAGATCTTCTAATTTAAAATAATCAGCATCATAATCACAGGGTTATTTACATAGCTAAAATATGCCTAGAATCAGATTGAACATTCTCAGTCATTAGCTTTGTGTGAGATCGAGAGAATCTTATTGGACAATTTAGAATATTAATGAACCAATCAGAAGAAAGTAGTCAATTTCTACCTATGTGCATATATATATATTACGAAGAGCATTTTATGAATATAATTCATTGGCTGTCGCCTATTCCTTTATCTAAGCCCAATTTGTTTGTTTTGTACGGATGCGTCAATTGTCAATACATTATCCTATAATCCCGACGATGATGGTGACGTAAGTTAAAATAGAAGCATACTGTTGTCAAGCCAGTAGTCTTTGAGTTGATGAACTTTTCTTTCGTCGACTGCCAAGTACGTTTTAATGTGATTGCGATAAAAGAGAAACCCTAGTAAATCATTCAAATCTTGTAGATGACCAAGTTACTAGTCTTTAATGTCAAATAACTCGATCAGTCAAAATCAGATAGCTTATAATATATTCAAGAGAATCGTTAAAAGTCATATCCACTTACAATTTGCATTTCTTTCCGCATACTGTCTATCTCTTTTTTATAACTGGCAATTTCCACAACAGTACCCATTTTCTGAGGCTGAAAAAGAGAATATCAAAAAGGATATTGTACAACTGAAGGGCATTTATAATAATTTACTTGGTGATGATTAACAGTTAAGTCCAGGACATGCGTTTCGTCTTGTTTAGGACTAGGTCATCAGCTAGATTTATCTTCATCCCAGGAAGTAATGATATTGTCGCCGAGACTAAAAACCTCTATTGAACGTCAAAATTACTTTGTTTCATTACATCCTAGTGAAACATAAGGCTTCGGTAGAACATCGCCATTTCACTCTATCCTCTCCAGTCTTATAAAACCACATATACAATTCCCCACAAGCATACATTTCAACATCACACCATATACTCCACATCACACTACAACACCAAACTCGTCGTCTCCATTTACCTTCCACTCAACCACCTGGATTGATTCGCCTGCTTCCTCACCTCAAAAAACCCTCTTCTCAATCCATATCCAATACAATACAATACAATCCATACCCACCTTATTCACCTGCACATCTGTTGGACAACAACTTCTTCCTTCGTTGGCTTGTTGCAGTCACAGTCTCTCCTTGATTATTCCAACTCGCCCCATCATCTCATCTCATCTCATGTCATCTCATCTCATCTGTAGTATGGAGTGAGCGTAGTTGGCAGGTGTTGATGGATGTCTGCAGTTTGTTGGAAATGCTTTTCGTAAGGTGTCGAATCTCTCACCCATCATATGGAAGCACTGACTTGACTGACATAGTGTTGGAAATCCGGATCTTCTCTATGTTGAGTGGAGTAGATCTGCACACTGATTTCAGGTTATTGCACGAAGGCGTGTCTTGCTGTCTTCCAGAAACTGACTTTGACATCGTCATCTGTGCTGCAGCTGTAGTTGAAACGATGCTGCCTAGGTAGGTGGGTTGATGAAAGAGACAACTTCGTTTCGATTTCTCCAGTTGATGATGACTGGCGATTGTTGTTGTTGGTGGTGGTGGTGGTTGGGTATCTTCACCACTTGTGTCTTCTCAACGTTCACCTGAAGGGAGTCCCATCTTCGCTGCCTCACCTCACCTCACTTCACTTCACTTCTTCTGTCAACTTGTTAGTTGTCGCCTGTACATCCTTGAGTTTGTGTGACATAAGACATTAGACATAAATCATGATCGGGGAAATCCAAATCTTCTGTGGTCTTTCCACCGGTCGAACAGCGTATGCCCTTCTTCTCTAAGCTCCTCACAGTTGTTTCTTGTGTGATCCGGTCCAGTTGAGTCCAGTTCAGTCCAGTTGACCACACTGAGGCTGATGATCGGTGGTAGTAGGCGGCAACCTTGTCTTACCTGTCAACCTGTGTTCATTCAAGACTTTGCAGTACTCAGTAATAGAAAACTAACAGGAAAAAATCGTTCATTGCTCCTATACATAGGGCAGCATCCAACAGAAATACCTCACTGCTGTCACACTTCCGGTTAGTCGACAGTATGACTTTGCCTTCAGACTCCCATGATAGTGCTTTAATAATAACTACTTTTTGTCTAATCACTATCCAAAAAAACTTTTCTTGACTGGAAGGATCTCGAGGGTACAAGCGTTCCATGACATTACCTCGACCTCCGCATCAAGGTAGTAGCTAACGGTTGCATATGCATAATTTATTTTTACCTGGCGAGAGTCATTCTTGTAGTCAAAGTTTGACATTTTTTTTTGTTATTTCTTCATTTACAGAGAACAGTCGTTCTTCATATATCATTTCTATATATTTTCGCTTATTCACTGTGGTTACCAACGAATCAATCTACTTCATATCATCATTTATAGATTACTAAGTGAATCTTTTTCTAGTTGAGTTATAATTTTTCTTTTTAGCATCACTGAGTTAAGAAAAGCATTGAGTATATGCCTGAATTTAACAATACAACAAAAGGATGATATTAAACATTAGGATAACAGAACACACCTTGTTTTCATTTGGTTCTTTCTCCATCAATGCACGCATTGCTTCATTCATTTTACGCATTTGTTCAACACGTGACTTTAAGTCAGTAATTTGTTCATCACGAGCATCAATCATTTCTTCTTTTTCATCCAGCTAAAAAGATACCGAAAAAAATAATATGGAAAGGACCTCGTGTAAATGTCGAAAAGTATATGAAGTTGTTTAAGGTATAAGTGTCTTTAGTATTGGTTTGCATAAATATCTTTGAAAATTAAACAAAGCCTTCCAGGAAATCATTTGAAGTGTTTATTACTTTAAGCGGTTGACAGAATTCAGTCAGTCCATTAAAACACGTTAAACTTCATAAACTGAATTATTTGGTTACTTTTTATTTTCTAATGTGAATATAAGGACAAACTAAATTTGTTCCAAGTGACGTTTGGTTAAAAGTTGTATAACCGACACATCAGAATAAAATCTCTTCAAATATTTAACTTCAGTACTTAAATCCCTACAAAAGCTCTCAGAATATACAATAAAGGAGTTACTTGATTTGAAATTCAAAAATTTCTTCAGTTGAAATTGAGAAAGATGATAATAGCCTAGATATTATTTCTCATTCATTAGACTCAGACACAATATTGGCAGAAAGATATCAACTGAATGCCAGTGATATCAGCAAGGCTCTAAAACTCGGCTTAGAGACTACTTAAATCTCATTTAAAGGAAACCTATACAGGAAAACTAACGGTGTTCCTATGGTCCACCTATTTCACCATAGTATTATTATAATCATTTGTCCCTTGGGTTTCTAGTCGAACATACGGCTTCAGTAGCACGTCTCCACTCCACTCTCTTCTCTGCAATATTTTCAATCTGGCTACACGACTGCCTACCCACAAGCTCTCATTTCTTCCTCACACCATATCCTCCATGTCACCCTCAGCTAGGACGCACAACTCTTCATTTCCCATCTGGCTTCCACTCAAGGACCTGGCCTAGTGCGTGATGTCCCCAATCGGTCTTCTCAGTGTGAGCCCAATCCATATAAACTTCCTTCTGCATATTCGTTGAGTGATGAGTACCTGGTTGGTTTGTTGTCAGCCAGAGTCCCTTCCTTCTTATTCTCATTATTCTGGCCACCTCATCTCATCTTCAGTAACGAGCCAGTGTAGACAGTTGTTGATGAATGTCTGTAGTTTGTTAGAAATCGCTTTCGTAACGCGCCAAGTTTCCCAAACATCACACGGAAGCACTGACTTCACTGACGTTGGTGTTGAAAATCTGGATCTTGTTCAGGCTTTATGCTGAGTGCAGTGCAGTGCAGTGCACTGCAGTAGATCTCCACACTGGTTTCGGGTTAATGCATGAAGGCCTGTCTTGCTGTCTTTCCTATCCTGGCTGGATTTGACGTCCTGATCTGTTCCGCCTCCTGTAGTTGAAACAATGCTGTCTGGATAGGTGGAAGAGACGACTTCATTTAGGTTTCTCCCGTCCATGGTGATTGCAGCTTCTTGTTGTTGGTGATGATGTTTGGTGGGATATTATCATCATCTCTGTCTCCTCCACGTTCACTTGAATTCCCGTCTTCACTGTCCTACCCTGCCTCTTCTATCAACTTGTAAGTTTTCGCTTGTAGATCTTCAGGTTTGTGTGACATTAGACACAAATCATCATGGGTGAAATCCAAATCTTCTAAGATCTTTTCCCTGGTCCAGCTTGCCTATCCCCCTCTTCTCGCTCCTCACTCTTTGTTGCATGATCCAGTTCAACACAATCAGGGGGATCATGTGTGATAGTAGACAGCCTCGTCCTGTCTTACTCCTGTCTTCACTTCACTTCACTTCAAAGACATCACTGAGCTTCCCATTGTGAATCACTTAGCATGCGGAGTCTTCATATAGTTGTTAAATGGGGCTGATAAAGGTTTGTGGTACTAAAACCTTAGTGTTGAAGCAGTTGCCAAATTACTTGTTGATCGACGCTTTCAAAGGCCTTTTCAAAGTCGATGAAGTTGAGAGAGAGATTTGACTGCCATTCTATACTCTGTTCTATGATGATGCGTAGGGTAGCGTTGCAATTTGGTCCACACATGATTTGTACTTGCTGAATCCAGCCAGCCTGTTCGGATGGTTGTTTTGAATCCGGGGCATCCTTTAGTCTCTCCAGAATGATGCGGCTTAATATTTTGCTTGGGTGTGGACAGGAGCATGATTCCTCACCAGTTCTTGCCAAGAATATTTCACCCACAGTAGCTGACGTACTAATCAGTAAATTCATAGAAAGTGTCTTCACTAACTTAATAAAGCTGAAAATTTGCTTGAGATATATATTGATGACATATTCGTAATTTTGAAACGTGATTCATACCGGGGATTCTTAGATCAGCTGAACTCAGGTGACAAAATTAACGAATAAAGTGAAACTACCTTTCTTTGTTTGTTTTGTTTAGCGGAAAGAGAATGGACATCTTGTTATAACCACTTTCAGGAAAGCAATACATTCGAATAAATATTTAGATTTCAACACATCGCATCGAATCAGTGCGAAAGTTACTGTTACTGCCTCTAGTCTTTTAAGGGGAATATACACTCTAATAACGGATGAAAATGAAAGTGTTGAGGAATTAAAATATATGAACAAGATACTTCAAATGAATAATTGCCCGGTAAAATTCATTCTTAAAATAGGAAATAACATTAAATTAGATCGTAGAACTGCTCCTAATTCATGGGCCTCAACAATAGTTATCCCTTACAGATCACACTCACATAGGATGAAATTAGGAGAGTACTCAAGAAATACAATATCCTCAGAGTATTCTACAGAACATGAAACACATTGCACAACATCTTAGTTCATTTGAAGGACGATATCCTCTTGGATTCACAATCTAATTGTGTTTATAAAATAACAATGCTGAGGCTGCGATGTAGTATATTTAGGATAAACTAACCATGAAATCAAAATTAGGAAGAATGAACCCTAAAGAGCTTCACACTCGACCCCCTAGAGTGGAGTTGTAAAAGCTTGAAAATATTTTAGTCATAGGACTAGAATTTTAGGTCACAAGGTAGATTTTAACAATGCTGAAATTATTCAGAAAGGTTTTGGAATTTATTAAGAACATCTCATAGCAGAATCTCTTCACATAAAGAGAGATCATGATTGTCTAAGTAGTAATGAGGGAAGGAAACGCAGTTTCACCCTGTCTCCTCCTACCCCACATACTGACTTAGCCATCATACATGCAACAAGAACTTCTGACATATGTGTACATACAAATCTCAATGAGTTCCTAGCCCTATGCTCTACCAACTGAGCTACGAGGTCCAACTGCTCACCAGATGTTTATTTAACTTCAATCACCAAGAAGTTTTGTCCAACTACCATGTGAATTTGTGACGCGTTACTACCACTTGATCCTATTCAAACTGGTTGTGCATAATCAGGACTTTTCATCCCAACCGAAATCTAATTGGATTAGAATGAAAGGGGGAGAATCATACTGATTATCATTTGATTATCTGAGATAGCAGCCATATTTTTGCAGACTAGTATTTATCATCATCGAAATTCTATTCCCAAGAGGTTAAAAAAATATTTCTATGGATTGATGATATGTTCAAACAAGAAGATGAATCTAAGCCTAAAGATTAAATAAATCCCCCCTAAATATGTATAAGGTAAAATGTGTAAGTGTACTTTCTGAAAGTGAGATATAAACGATTAACCAATTTTTACGACTCAGTGTCTGTAAAAAGTAAACAGTAGTTTCATACGTTGTTGCTATATGTTTATCGAACTAATGGGAAAGTGTTAGTTGGTTCGATACAACCACCACTTCAGTTTCGCGCTTGTTGATACTCATCAGTAAGGCGAATCTGCAACCCCGAGGGGAATGATGTCCCCTCTGAGATTTATATCTACATTACACAATGTTGCAGTCATCCGTGTTACCACTCAGATATTTAGGTTGTGGCCCGTAATCTCCAGATAGAAATTCTTTCCTAATTATTTTGAAATTTCAAAATTCTTCATAATTTAGCACAGTGTATTGTCTAAAGTGAAATTGTAGGTGATTGGTTTAGGGAGGTGACTTTCAACCAGTGATTCACGGATATGAACTATGCTCTACCTACTATGGTTTGGGCAGCCAGCTAGTTTGTATCGTCTAAGAGGTCACCGAAGCTCCAATAGCATATTAGGTCTGTTGAATACATAGTTATAGTTCCGTTTTTTATAAACAGAGACTAACAATGGGATGAAAGACGGATGTTTTATCTTAAATGTGACTCATCATCTCGATGTATCTGCCTGCGAATGAATATTGTTCTGCTTCTTCAGACACAAACCTGTTGGGTTACTATCTTATAGGCTAAGATATGATACTAAAGTTTTTTAAAATTCTAAACTGCTCTATTAAAAACAGTTTAGTATCAGTCAATCATATTGTTTAAAACATAATTCACCATGAATACTGAATAATCAATGACCAAGGCTATTGGAGACTAATAGAACACTTGCTTACCTCTCTTTGAAGCATTTCACTACGTTTAGAGTCCAACTGTTTCTCTGAATTTCGGTCTACACTTACATTTGGTTTAGAAGCTATCTCTAAACGCTTCTGTAGAACCAAAGTACGCTGATGTTCTTCAGATAAAAGTTTTTCTAAGCAACGAATCTTCTGATTTGTATCCTGAAATAATGGTTATTATGAAAAATATTGAATTAGTTACTATGTTGCTACAATAAATTCAATTCATAGTTTATTGAAGGGTAACTGATCAGTATATCTCGTTTGAGATATTTGTCAACTGATTATTACTGAGTAGCTTTATTTATACCTGTAATCGATCACTTGTTCGACCCCTACATATTTCTATACTTATTCGATTATGCAGTGATGGTAGTCACCACTACAATTTTTGTGTTACAGTTAGCCAGTTTATTCAACAACCTCGTCAATTACATGAAAGCAGGTATTACATCAGTGAGGAAGGTGCCCATAGAACCCCATTAATTAAAGTGAAACTCTTTGGCCAGAGATTTACATCACTGTGACTCATTTCAGTCTCAAAATAAGTATTTCATAGGATGGAGTGATTTAAGGTGAAAGAAACCCTTAGATGATCAGCTCAGCGTAATAAGACTCAGTGTATCAGTTGTCAAGGAAACTTTGAGGGTAGCGAGGAACAGAATGAACTAAATCAAAATGTTAGACAACAAACCTTTATTCATGAACCTCAAAACATGATCAGCAAAGTTGGACATGAAACAAGTAACCAGATGGTGATATATATATATCATGAAACTTGTGAATTTCCATATTACCAAGAGTCTAGTGAGTTCCACTACAGGATGAAGTGAAGAATAAATTCCACCTGGTATACCCAACTGTTCATCAATATCTAAGTGTAATTTAGTACGTCAAAGTTTAACAGTATCGTTTCAACTAAAGGCGGCGATGGTGGTGACAGATGAGGATGTCAAAGTCAGTATCAGGAAAACGACATGGCAGGTCTTCATTAATCTTAAATCAGTGTGGAGAGTTACTCCACTCCACTCCACTCCACTCCACTCCACTCCACTCCACTCAGCATAGAGCGTCAACAAGATCCGGATTCTCAACACTATGTCAGTCAAGTCAGTGCTTCTATATGATGGGTGAGAGATTGACACCTTACGAAAAGCATTTCCAACAAACTGCAGACATCCATCAACACCTGCCAACTACGCTCACTCCATACTACAGATGAGATGACATGAGATGATAGGGCGAGTTGGAATAATCAAGGAGAGACTGTGACTGGCAACAAGCCAACGAAGGAAGAAGTTGTCGCCCAACAAATGTGCAGGTGAATAAAGTGGATATGGATTGAGAAGAGGGTTTATTGAGGTGAGGAACCAGGCGAAGCTTTCACCATCAAAGATTTTCAGCCTGACCTGCTTACCCATAAATACAGTGTAATTGACTTTTCTTTCCCCTGATAACAATGTTATTTTCCATGTACTGGAAGTTATTTTCCCGCTTTCGATTGCATCATCTCTTCATGAATTACCTAGTGACTGTTAATTGCTCAACTTAACGTTTTTTCAGTTTTCCTATGTGATTACGTAACCTACTAGCGCTTAAACAACCCCTTCTTTTACACTACTATCTGTTTGTTTTCTTTCCCTTTCTTTGCAACCTCAAAATTTACCTCATCAGATATGCCTCTACTACTACTACTCCCAGTTTAGTAGTAACCACCGAGCAACAGAATGTGTCGACCACTTCCCTTAATTGGCGAGTTCCACCAGACCAAAAGAGCTGGCTGCTAACGAAGTCTCACCTGGTATACAGAAGGCTTGTTTGACATTTCTCAATGTGCTTTATCTGTGTTACCGATTAGAATTGCTCGCGTTTAGTGGAACCACCGTATGAACAATGCTGAGGTCAGGTGAAATTTACTAGAAAAGGCAGGAAGTCGATTGATGAGGTTGTGAATCTTAGTCGACTGAGATGCCTTGAACACGTACTGCGTATGACAAGTCACCGCCTACCTCGTCATGCCATGCTAGGTGGAGTTGTCTTAGGTGCGAAGTGGATTTAGGCTGGCCAGATCAAGACGCTGCATTAGTCGATGTGTCTTACTGTTGGTCTGAGTCATATGGGGGAATGTAGGCTGCCTGTCCAGGATCCCTGAGACCAAATGAATCAGTGGTTGAGAACTATTTCTGGTATTGCTGAAAGTCGGTGACATTAGTGCAGATGTATTCATTCCTTGATATATTCTAAAGCTTGAATATTCATAGCAACCTTTATCTTCAGGCTGTTTATTCTTTTACACAACTTAATCATCTTTCATATCACTCCTTTTTCTATCCACCTTTTCTTTGTATACTTTTGTGAAGTGTGACACCTTGAGTTGATACACTTATATATGATGTTCCACGCTGATTATTTCTATCCACCTGTCTGTATTTCCTCGACTTATCGACTACCTTACTGCTTATCATGGATTTCACACTACTACTTGTACTACTCATACTACTGCTACTACTACTACTACCACTACTCACACTGCTACTTCTACTACTACTACTTAAAGCAGATAAATGAGCCCATATTTTATTCGTGTCTTTGTTCTTACTTTGTTCAGACATTAAATTGTTAACTGTTGACGGCTGAGCCTCAAATAATAATAATAATAATAATAATAATAATAATAATAATAAAAAGCTTACTCCTATCTTGGCCGACTCATTCGAGGTTTCTTCTACCTTCTTGGTTGTCATGGTGGACGAATCATCGGAGACATAGTTCACATTTAGTAGACTGAAATGATAAAACAAACATAATTATGTTCACTAATATTGACTGACTCCTTTTAAAAGAAAAAAAAAGTGAATTTCTAGAAATTTCTGTAATATTTCATTACATCTGGTTTTTCGAAGAGAGAACACCAACACTGAATGATAAATGGAAGTCGCTACGAAATTCAGATCAGAGACACTCTGTTAATTAAGCCATAAAGTCAAGCTTCTGACTAGAGACTATTCACAGTCTGAGTAAAGGTCTGGTCAAGACCTGAGCTGCTTAACTCCGTTGGTAAAACCTTGGGGGAAATAGCTTACACGACCCAAGTTTTCATATCTCCTTCGATCATCATGATATGATACCTGACGAATACAAAACATTCTTCGAACGTCTTTAAACAGTTTTACCTTCACCTGGTTGCACAATGTTAGCTGAAGTAAGTTCAGGCTGGAAAAAGGCTCGGAGTGACGGAAATGAGACGTGACATCAGTTCATGAAGTCTCTAGTATTGATCTGAGCTGTGTGCGGAAATGCAGACTTCCTAGTTGAATTCCACATGACAACAGAAACCAGTGAGATGAAGACTGTAGATGATATGGCTCGTCATAGTGAGTTAAGTATTTTCTTATTCCTTCTTCCTCTATTTTATAAGTCTCTACTACATTCACCAGACTCTCCTAAATTTCTTCGTCTTTTATTTTACTTCACTACAACTTGATGTGCTTCTGTGAGTGTGGCAGCTTGAAATCCTACACAGTAATACCTGTTCTATGTTGATTTTGTTTGTTGTCTGTCTGTTGGTCGGATTCTTAAAAAAGAATAAACGGTTACTTTGTTGCATGATTACAATTTCAATTGGATCGATTAAGAATCCAATAATCTACAATGAACCACTTGGATCTCATCGTTACAACTACACTAGTCATATAATACAAAGCTGTAAATGGTTAGAGAACTTGTTATTTTATGTACTAAAGCCTGGGGTCTAGCAAGGTTGGAAGGAACCAATTATGGACCCTCAACCTGGTGCTCAAATGACTGTGCTGCAATAAACAGCTTCATATGAGCGAATCTTGGATGACCGCAATGCCTAACAGTTAACTCATGTGGGTGGGTTAACAAAGGGACTGCCACTTTAAATCCTTCAACCCCTCTTCGTATACATTGTCCTAACCTTGTATATCTGCATCGTTTGAAGTGATTGGTCTGGGGTTCCAGTCCTGCTGGGAACAATATCAGTCACTAGGAGGGAGGCATCCAGCTGACGAGCTCTTAATAGGACGAAATGCGCTTCCTGGATTCCACTGCCACTCACTATTCATCATCAATACCTATATTATTTGGCTTGATAGTTTGAAGCTAACTAAAATTTGTGGGAGACCTACTTCTTTTTTGATTGCATTGCCTAATCAGATAGACAGATTTATGTTAGCAATAATGATATAGGGGCGGGGAACACCTGTTTGAAGTTTGATGAATGAAGTTTTACACAATTTTCGGACCACATTACCTCTTACTTATGATATGGTTAGATCAATACTAAGAATTATATTCTTTACACCATTTCAAAGTAAGTTCTATAGTAGGCTAACTTTTGTCCTGAATTTATTATGCTTCTTTGTGAGTTTTATTTCAAAATCCCCTGTCATACAATGAATATTCACTGATTCGTAATGATTCTACTGTGTAATGCAAAATATTGCGTTTATTTACACAGTCATGCCCAGATCCTAAAGACGTTTTCCTGATTGGTCTATTTTTATTATTTTTGAAAGATCGATATTCACTTTTTTGTGATTGATCGATTTCTGACTATCATCAACAAGGTTTACACAGGAGAGATAAAATTTCAGACTGAACAGTAATGTGTACACCAACAGGTATAGAGATAATTTCTCAACAAAATTCTCCTAAAAAGTTATTTTGCAAACATTTTCAGAGAAAACAAGTCATAAAATATAAATTGCTATTCTGTCTATTAAACTCTCTAATAGAGAATAAAATGTTTTGCAAAAAAAGAAAGACGATTATAAAATATTTTATGAAGGATAGATATTTATCATCAGAGGGTATCTGACAGTCGTTTCACTTCACTTAGTAGTTATTCAGCAGTTTGTAATCTGAACTCATCCGAGGATTGGACATATTACCTTCATATACTACGATGAGAGCTTCATATCAGAGATTAGACTAAGTAGAATCCAGAGGTCAGCATTTTTGAACCTTCAGGAGTTACTGACAGAATTAACTCTAGCCCACAGGTTTCGACACTAAGCTGTGGATCAGTGGGTCACGGGTTCGAAACCCACTTCACTTATCGAAATTCAGATAGCCAGGTAAGATTAACAACCATCTGGTCGTATTAATCCTTCAAAGTGATGAGTTGATATAATGTTGTGTCAATATTAGTACCTCCGTACCCCGTAGTTCAGCCGATAGAGAACCAGATCAGAAACCTGAAGGCGTCTGACTGGAATCCTTCCGTGACACATTTTTTCACATTACCATTCTGCATTTGAAAGGCTGATATTTACTACCATATCCGAAGGTCTTAAGTTCGTTTCCCTGCATGGTCGTCAATTTACTGGAAACTAGATAAATTATTGGAGGTCTTTCTTACGAAATCTTAAGATCTATTTCAACATTTTCTTCACCGGAATACCAAATTAAGGTATCGCTTGTTCAATATTCAAATTATCTTAAACTCAACGGGTCTTTTCAAATGGTTCGTATGTTTGATAATTAACATTGAACATTGAACATTCAAAAGGCAGAAATACCGACCTTATGATATGATTCATTAATTAATACTCATCTTACCTGCAAATTTCTGTTTGAAGACTGGTGTTTTGTTCTTCTAATATTGTGAGCAATTCATTAAGTACAGTACACTTTTCTTCTAAATGACTTAAAAACTTTAAGAGTTCGCTTTCTCGTCTATCAGATTCATTTCGATATTCTGCTAACGAATCTTCTAAATAGTTGATCCGAACTTGAGAACTATTCACTTGTTCACGTGTTGAACTTGCTTCACATGTTATCTCATCTGTTGTAAAAGAATGACAACGAAAGATTGATAGGACTTTATGAAGTATTTCTTTGCTTCATAGTATTAATTGTTTTAAATGGGTGAAAATATTTGAGACAGCTAAGTTCAATTAAATGATTGAGAACAACTAGACAATTTGCAATAACTTGATTGGTTGAAAGTCAGCTAATCAGAAACTAAATCAACCAATTACATAGTTGCACACACCTCTGAGAAAACAATTGGCAGTAAATCAACCAATTAGGTTTAGGCCACGCCCACACTCAAAAGACGACCAATCAGGCTGTACACAGACCAAGTTAGCACGTTATAAATATTTTTGCTCTGAATAAGATGTCTAGCACGACATTGAGACGTTTGGTAACTAAAGTCCTACCTCACAAGATAAGTCAATCTGGACATATTGGGGACAGTTAAGTCCAGTTAGAAGATCGGGGACTACTTGAGTAGCTTAGAATGACTTAATCAGTTGAAAGTCAGGCTGTCAGGGGAAAGTGACTGGCTGAAAGAATTTCAGTTAATTAATTGTTCGATATAGCTTTCCTGCTTGTTGGCATCCATCAGCAATTGTATCTGCAACCATGATGAGATTCAAAACGGTGTCATCCAGTGTCGCACTCAGTGATGTTACAGCTGGGCTGCTTGGGTCTTGATGGTCTCATGTACAGTTGGATTAGATAAATTGGATAATCACTGGAGAGCAAGGATATTCATGCTGTTTAGTTTTAGTGGGAACAACATCAACCACAGGAGGGCAAGTACATCCAGGTAACGAGTCCGTCCCAAATTGGACGGAACGTACGTCCTGGATTCCCCTGCTGACCACCATCTATCACTAATATCAAAACTTAAGTCACTATGCTTGGATAATACAAATCAGCTTGTCACATGGTGGTTCCCATGGCGATAGCTATGCATCGAGAACCTGGATTTTCTCTCTTCGGTTAGACCGACAATCATGGAAACGTACTTGTCAAATCCCAGCGATGTAGGAAAATAAGCTTCTGATGTTTTGTGACTCTGCAGAAGTCGCTTCTTCAGAGAACAAAGTCTGTACAAGTTGTCAAATTTATAAACATAAAATAGGGGTAAAACAGTCTACATTGTTCATACATGACAAAAATATGGAAATGAATGGAATCAGTTTAAAGGCCAGTCTAGCAACTGTTGAAGTAACCAATCAGATTTTATTATTTCGGCTGGGGGGGGGGAGCTGTTCCTAAAATGAAGGAATGTAATTGGTTATCTTAGGATTTGTTAGGATGGTATTTAAATTCACTCAATAAATGTTGTTGATATCAGTTATTAGCCATCGAGTACAATGTGAAGCTGTGAATGTATGTGAAGGTGACAGGATTATGCTATGGATGAGAAATTCTTAGTGTTTGTTTGGTATAGCACAAAAAGCAATTGGTGGCTTGATTTATAAATTCTCTTGTTCTACAGGATAAGTTGACGGTTGTGTTGTGTAACTTTCACATTCTTTAGCTTAAATGAGGATCTCCCAAGATGGTCCTTCATTAGAATAAAGGTCATAATGGACACACTAAAATTTGTAGACACACTTCTGTATGGAGGTGTAAGAAGTTCTATCTTTTGAATGAATCATGGGATTCCTAAGTGTGTTGGTCCCATTATAGAAGGGTCATATTTGGTGCTTTCTTAAAATCTTATTTAGTTATTCACTTGTACCTTGGTGGCCGAGTAAATGAAGATTTACCACCGAGTGGATTAGTTGACTTCAAATCAGAATATCGAGTAACTCAGAAGTTCATTTTCATTCCTTTTAACCTAACTGCTTAAGAATGGTAGTTCATCACTTGCCTTTTCATGTTTACATATAAATGTAGCATATTTTTATTTATAATTATTTTTCCCTTGGGTTCCTAGTGGAACATATGACTTCAGTAGCACGTCTCCATTCCACACTCTTCTCCGCAATATTTTCAATCTGCCTACACGACTGCCTACCCACAAGCTCTCATTTCTTCCTCACACCATATCCTCCATGTCACCCTCAGCTAGGACGCACAACTCTTCATTTCCCATCTGGCTTCCACTGGATGGCCTGGCCTAGTGCATGATGTCCCCAATCGGTCTTCTCAGTGCATGCCTTCGCCTGGTTAACTAGTTCACTAGTTACTAGCCGGTCCCAAGCCCGGGTAAAGAGGGAAGGTTGGGCATAGGGCTAGCAACCCTACCCCGTGAAACCAATCCAATTTAGTAATGTGGAGAAGGAATGTTAATTACTTTAGAAAAAGTTTTAGATGGTTGATCTTTGTAATTTAACAAGTGTATCGTCTAGATTTCTGAGCCAAATACGTATTTTGACAGAGTTGGCAAACATCATTCATTCAATATGGAGGTTAGCAAAGATAGGGGGAGGGAATACCTGACAGTCCACTGTTACTCCATTTATCAGTTTACATACTTTTCGTCTAGAAGGAAATGGGATCAGACCATGAAGTATAATTCTATATGGTGACATAGTATAACTTACTGGATGACATTTCGAGCAGAATTTACTACGCAAATACTTATCAAAGTTCAATAAATTCAGCTCGAAACGTCGTCATTCAGTAAATTATACTGTATCGCTGTACGCTACATTTAATACGGAATAAAACTCAACACTACAGTTACCAAGTTTTTGGTTTCACAGTCCATGATGTCTCTAACTATAGGAGAACCTAGGCTTCAAGATGAAGGATGTTGTGACAACTGAAATTGATGACGTGAATAAAAATCAATTTCAGAAGCACATATACATTTACACATTATTTAAAACCGTCAAATTATATTCTGTTGATGGTTTCCTGGCAGCTTGAACTGTTACTTCATGTCAACAGATCCTATTAAAACATTCAGTAACTGAATGGTTAACCAGCATATTAGGTGGTCTGTGTCATAATGAATCTGAGGATTAACTCGTCCCTCATCACTGTAGCATTGAAGCACAAACTAGTTAAAGTAGGGTTGGACTTTTTAAAATTACAAGTGTATCATTTATACATATGAGCAAAATACGTGATTTAATAGAGTTGGCAAAGATCATGGATTTAGTATGGAAGTACTTAGTGGTTTGCAACAATTAGTAGTAAGAGAGAGGTCATTTCATTCCTCAAATTCATACAAAAATCAAGGGATTTCATAATGAAGATGAGAATCAAAGAAGATCTTTTTCACTACATTTTTACAAGCCATTGTTAAGGAATTCACCCATGAAATCTAAACATCTTCCAATAGGAATATCAGCCAACTATCACCCATGATATTCCTGATTGTGGTCGACTGGATCATGCAACAAACCGTGAGCAGCGAGAAGAGGAGAATACGCTGGACTACGGAAAAGAACCTAGAAGACTTGGATTTCGCCGATGACTTGTGTCTGATGTCACACAAACTTGAAGATCTACAGGCGAAAAATGACAAGTTGACAGAAGAGGCAGCGAAGACGGGACTTCAGGTGAATATAGAGAAGACAGAAGTGATGAAGATACCGCACCACAAACAACAACAACAACAAACTCTAGTCACCATCAACGGAAGAAACTTAAAGGAAGTAACCTCCTTCACCTATCTAGGAAGCACTGTTTCAACTACAGGCGGGACAGACGAGGATGTCAGTCAGAATTGGAAAGACAGCAAGACAGGTGTTCATTAGCCTGAAACCAGTGTGGAGATCTACTGCACTGCACTCAGCATGTGGAACAAGATCCAGATTTTCAACACCAACGTCAGTCAAGTTAGTGCTTCTGTATGGTTCAGAGACTTGGAGCGTCACCAAAGGGATTTCTAACAAACTACAGACATTCATCAACAACTGTCTACTCTGTCTCATTACTCAAGATCAGGTGGCCAGAAATAATAGGCAACAAGGAGCTCTGGGAACGAACCAACCAAGAACCTATCGCTCAACAAATATGCACTGCAAGGAATTGGAGATGGATTGGGCATACACTGAGAAGGCCGACTGGGGACATCATGCGTCAGATCAGGCCGTCGAGTGGAACCCCTTTGGGAAGCGACGAGTTGTGTGTCCTAGCTGGGGGTGACATGGAGGAGATCGTGCGCGGAGGAAATGAGAGCTTGTGGGCTGTTGTGGAGAAAGGTTCCAAAGATTTCAGTGAACAGAGCGTATTGGAGACGTGCTACTGAAGCCCTATGTTCCATTAAGAATCCAAGGGACAAATAAATAATAAATAAAAAAGTGAATACAATAAAATAACACCGATAATAGAACGTTTGAAAATGTTTAGTGGGGATGCAAGATATGTCGATCAAGAATGTACACGAAATTTTGTTAAGTTCAGTTTCTATCCTAGAGAGATATCAGAGCTCATGAATTTACGGTTATCCAAAGAAACGTGATAGTATTTGGGATTTGGGATGTAAAGTAATTCATAATGAGTTTCTGATGAGAAATTTTACTGCTTTTAAAAGGTGACCTGCTTATTTTTTCATCTTGAAGAATAAACCATATGTTTCATTTTTAAAGAAGCGGGTTCCGCAAGATCACGAACCGTCCGAAACCCTTTTTTCATCTAAGTAAGATTTAAGAAACGCATTTCTCTTATAACCTCTGTAGGGAAATTTCCATCGGCTTATCGAAAGCCAGAATGGCGTACATCAATCTGGGCCACTTTCGGCACCGTCGTGACGTTAGTCTGATCGTAAAAAGTCAGATTTACAACGCTCCGGTGCGAGTAGTTCTGCTGTACGTCTGTGAAACATGGCCTCTCCAAGCTGAGGATGTGCTATGACTCTGTGTGTTCGATCATCGTTTTCTCCGTAGGATCTCTCGTATCCGGTAGGAACACCATTTAAGTAATTCTGAGGTACGACATCGTGTGTTCGGGCATAATGGAGATCGTCATTTAATAAGTGAAGTCATCTGGAAATGCTGGCCTCGGTGGTGTAGACATGTTATGTATCTTGTCGCAACGGCTAAAACCTAGGAGTAGATGGAAGAAGTGGAGGGGTGGTTAGTGTATGTCGTGGCACCGTGAATTGGAGGATAGGTGTGGTTCGAGAGGTCACGCTATCAGATATGCCTGAGAATCGAAACCAGTGTTGGTCATTATGTAGCTTCCTGCAAGATAACCTGCAAACTCATACGGGAATAAGCTTCACAGGTTTAATGTTCCTATTGCTTCAGTTAGGCGGAATAATTTAGTTTACCGAATCCCTTGCAGCTATTTCGAGGTCAAACACATACGTCAAAGTAGTCGACCAGGGTCAGTTAGGCTATCCAAGCAAAGCATAAAAACATAGCTAGATCCCAACTGGTAGATCCAAATAAGACAAAGAATTTTGGAGAAAAGCTCAGCGATTGCTATGCTTAAGATTGTATACAACCACAGAATGAGATGGGATTGAGTCAAGGTATTGAAAATCAACCTAGTTGAGTGGAGGGCGAGATTGATAACGGGAGCTTCGTTTGTCAAATCAACACCAAACATATGGAACAGGAATGATTCCGCTACTAAATATGTGGTAAATTCTACTGTTCATATCTCTAAGGAGGCGAGAGAAGTAGAACTATGTAAAGTATGTCTGAAAGTTGTGGAGTTATCTTGATATGACTATGGACAATAAGTTGTATCCGAAACGTTATCCAGTAAATAATACTGTTCCTTCACGGTGAGATACATCTAATAAATCAGCTCAAATGCAGTTGCATTCCGCCATAGTACAAGGGTGGTAACTTTGCTGACTGCAACATTGAGTGACGTGGTGGGACACTAGTTTCCTGGAGGTTGGAGACATATCTCTTATTCGAGTGCCAACAGGAACGAAACCCTGGTCAGCCAGGGCTTTCAGCCCATTACTATCAGCCGACTGACATTCATCAAAGTGCACTGTGATGGTGAGCCTTCTAGCTTGGTGAACACGTTGCAAAATGATTGATTGAATTCCATAAACCCATCAGGACTATGCAACATGAAAATAGTTACTGTCCAGTGACCAGTCATTGTAAACATTAACAAAAATCTTACTCAGTTCCTCTTCTAAATGTCGTATTTCTTCAATTAGAAGTTCTTGACTCATCAACTGTAAGTTTACAGGACGCTGTCTCCTACTGTTTGTTTGCTGTTCCGATTTTCTGTCAATAGTGCGAAGTTTTGCATTTTCATCCTGTAGTTCAGACAATTTCTTCTTCATATGTGATATCTAAAAGAAATGAAATTATAAATGATTAAAGGTAAAATCACCATGAACTGACAGTACTTGGAGAACCACTGAGTACCTTGGAATAGTGGAAAGAACGTTTCGTCCCAGCATGGGACTCTTCAGCAATACGCGCGAATAACCCAACTAGGGATGGCACTCAGGACCCTTAGGCCTCGCAGCTAACGCGGTAACCATTTAGCCACCACGGTTACGTCCAGTGATGCACAGTTTCGGACTTCTGTCATTTCGCAATATAGCTTGACTACCACCCAAGGTCTTCATTTAGGATCCATCCCACTTCCAACTGGTTAGCCAACCCCATAGGTCACAGCTTCTAATTAGAACTTCAGAATTTTCCATCTAAAAGCATGACAGAAGTTTATAGCTATGAACCATTGAATTTCGACTCAGTGGCTAAGTGGTCAATGCATCAGCACCTAGTTCAAGCTCACTCGAGCACCCAAGCTAGAGGTCAAACCTAGGAAATTCATCTTTCCAGGCTGCTACATAAATTGTGTAAATTCAAAGTGTTATGAATTTACAAAAGCCTAAAGAGTAAGTTTAGGTGAAATATTAAGTTTGGAGATAGAACAAGATGTATGAGATGGAATGACTTAACAAAGGTTTGGATGAATTTTATTGTAAACAAATTACCATGACAGTGAGTGGTTGACAATTGCATCTTTTTGACCAGATAGATTAGGTTTGAGTCTCTTGATAGCCATCGCTATGGTGAAACGTGCAACCGAGCTGTTTAGTGCGTCTGAACCCCTTAACGCTTAGGCAGATAACGTTTTGAAGTTACACAATCTGGCATTGATCTTCCAGCCAAAAATAACTATGACTCTCTTAGGGTAGAGAAATACCTCTTCGCATAAATAATAACACTCATGGTTGCCTAGCCTACTGTACATATTTCATCATCCTTAGTCGGATAACTGCCTTGATGGTGGTTTTGATCGTTAAGGTGTCTCAAGGTTAATTGCACAATGGCTGACCTTCTCGTGGCTGCTGTCGTAAAGCAGATATCAGCTTATGAACGGACTCACTGTCTTTTCGTCAAGCGCTTGGGTTTCGGAGTTAGGGAACCTACTCAGCGTGGGGAATGTTTGAGCTAATCAGATATTAACAAATACTCTGGGGTTTCTTATGTTGTTCCCTTGGGTGCGTGCGCTACGTGCTTCATCGGGCGACGGAGGAGTGTGAAAAAGCCTCTAAGATATGATGAATACCATCGTCTGTACGCCCATTACACTTCCAGTAAGTAAGGCAGACTTGCATGGCCAGCTTGCCTATATCCATGGTACGGGTTGTGCGTCAATGTTGAGGCCCACCCAGGTGACTGTACCAGCGATCGTTATCGAATATTCACAACGATGTAGCTTTAATCATCCCTCCTTACTGGGGAATGGATTTTCGGAATCAGTCGTCAATCGACTCCTGAACCTACTCAGTTACGTGCCAAAACCATGGAGGTAGTAAGGGCTGGGATGCTTGTGCACAGCACCACTAACCAAGGTGAAAGGAAGGTTGGTATTAGTCGAACAGTGAGGATGGGATACAGCTGGTTTCAGTGGAATATCTCAGATAGAGCATTCGATGCCGTTACAGCTGAGAAGGCAGGAGTAGATACGCGAGACTTTGAGGCTTTCTCCGTTAGCTGAAGCGCAAAGCTTGTTTTGCACACCTTTTTCATGCCTATGTACCTATTTGGAAGCCATTCTATTGGTTAGTGACCTTGAGCTGACCACAAACAATCAAAGTTTGTGGAACTGGAGTACCACTGACCAATCCCATAGATGCATGCCAGGGCCTCAAAGTAAACAAGCTGTACGCGGCATGGTTTAGTAGTGATGGGTTTGTGTTACCTGGTCATTAAAACCTGGGTTGTTTTGTACTCCGAGAATCAAGAGTCAAGCATATTTGTGCACAAAGGTGAGCCTCATCGTAGCTCACTGAATATCAACTAATACATCACCAAGTTGACTTAGCGAAAACTGTGTTCGATAAGATTCATATACGCAACATCAGTGACATCGGTACTCAGTTGACGAACAGTTTAGCTAGCCATTAGAATTTCGCTCAGTGTGTTGGGAGCAGTGCAACCGAAAGGTAAGGTGAATCCAGCTTCATAGCTCAGGCAATCCTCAGAGATGGGTGTAGTATTATCTTGCAATAGTGAGTAATGTCCGATCTACTATGCCACTTTCGTTAGCCGTTGTCTTGAATGCATTCCAGTAGCCCAATAAGGATGACTACTGTGGATGTATTGTCACTATAGGTTCGTAGGGGAGGCCTCTTTGAAGAAAGTTCTGTACTGTACTGTACTTAGGTTGTAAAGACTTTAGTGAGATGAGTCCCACGCACGTCTGTCCACGGGGATATGGGTGCAGTCAAAGAACCGATTACCCAGCGAACGTCGATAAATTGATGACTGACAATTGAAAGGGTTCTGGGATAACGCTGATCAATTTGAGAGAAGTTTTAACTGAATCGTCTAGCCTGAGTGTTGGTTTTCATGTGGATGCGTTGCTTGGATGTTTCCTGCTCAGCTAGGAGACCGTTCTATTAGATTTTTGTTTGAACTTTCATAGATGTAAAGACTAGGCTTCACCTTGGGGCTGACCTAAAAACTGGGGTCAGATTGCCAAAAAACACGTAACTTAAGTCAAGCAAGGTTCCTTGTTGACTGACCCCAACCAATGAACATCAAACGTACAGTACACTTCAGTGTCGTTTCACTCCGCTTATTAGCCATATTGTTAAACTTGATTGATTGATTTTGAATAGTCTTCAGCAGTAAGAAGTAGACCGCTACATCAGTTACCCCCTGATGACTTACTCGAAGACATTAGAACTGTACTGTATTTACAAAGGGATTGGATAAACAGCACAAAAACATTTTACCTACTTCATTCTCTTGATCCTTCATTGTTTCACGTACATCATTATACTTTTCAAACCAACCATCTCCCTGATCGAAGCTGCTTAAAACGCGTACATCACGAATAATTTGTTTCAATTGTTTATCTGTTTCACGTAGTTTACCCTTTAATAAATCATTTTCTTTAAGTGTTGTATCTAATTTTTGTTTGTATTCTTTGTTCAATGATAAATCAATTGAATCTTGAATATTGTTTGAATTCATTAACTCTGAGTCATTTGTGTTGATCTTTTCTTTATTTGTAGGATTAACTAAAGAAGAATAGATATTCAAATCAAGTTTACTTGCAGAGACCTTGAAAAATAACAAATTAAAACAAATTTTATTAAATGTGGCTAACTTGTTTATACATCAGGATTATCACCAATAATATCAGTCAAGTCAGTGCTTCTATATGATGGGTGAGAGATTTGACACCTTACGAAAAGCATTTCCAACAAACTGCAGACATCCATCAACACCTGCCAACTACGCTCACTCCATACTACAGATGAGATGACATGAGATGATGGGGCGAGTTGGAATAATCAAGGAGAGACTGTGACTGGCAACAAGCCAACGAAGGAAGAAGTTGTTGTCCAACAAATGTGCAGGTGAATAAAGTGGATATGGATTGTATTGTATTGTATTGGATATGGATTGAGAGGAGGGTTTTTTGAGGTGAGGAAGCAGGCGAAGCAAGCCAGGTGGTTGGGTGGAAGGTAAATGGAGACGACGAGTTTGGTGTTGTAGTGTGATGTGGAGTATATGATTTGATGTTGAAATGTATGCTTGTGGGGAATTGTGTATGCTTTTTTATAAGACTGGAGAGAACAGAGTGAGGTGGTGGTGTTCTACTGAATCCAGGGGACAGATAATAATGATAAACTTGTTTATGAATGACAGTGGAATCCAGGATGTGTGTTTAGTCCTGCTTAGGACACGTCAGTTGGGTGTACTTGGACTCCGGTGAGCGATGTTTTCCCCACTAGGAGTTGAACCTTGTACTACTAGCTTCGAAGGCCAGAATACTACTCACTATATGGAGTCCATTTGTCAATTTAATGTGATATAACAATAGAGAATTATAAGTTTTACAAGTCAAGTGTGAAAACTTGAGGTGATACAAGAGTGTGCTAGGTTTTATGTTGATTTTGTCCGTTAGTGTCAGTCTATGTTCAATATTATCATTATCGCAGCCAAATAAGCCGTGGACAGTGCACTCCTATTTCGTCTGCTGATTCTACTCACAGTATCATTTCCTTCAAACTTTGGTTTATTCTAAACAGTAATACATTCCTGCTTTCTTCTCCTTTTCAGAATACCTTTGCAAAAACTTCATGGATAAACATTAATGTGTAGACATTGTTCGATTAGTTGCATTTCCTTCTTGGTAGTATAATCTATTTGCCTTTCCATCGTGAACTTACTACTATGATGTGCATTATTGAAATGTTAAAGTAGGTGTTGCTTAGTTGTTCAACCTTTTCATAGGTAATAAAGGCATCATCAACACATCTTGAATAAGGCATGATTTTATTGACTGCACGTTTTAAGGTGATATTTTCTAACTGTGACATGAAGATAGTTCTAGTAGACTTTCTACAGGTACACTATTAACTTGTTTATACCTAGATGGTGGAAACATTATTCTCCCAAAAGAAAAAGTGTTAAAAACATTTCAAATAATCAAACAATGTCTACACAATAGCAGTTATTCGATGAAATTTGTGCAGAAGTACTGAAAATCCAAGAAGAGAGAAGGATATAATGCTATTGAAAAGAAACTAGTGTTTCATTTTTTGACTTTCATGAAAGATGATGTTGCGATAAGAATCAACAATCGAATTATCATTTGTAATGTTGATACAGTTTTTATAAAACAATGTAGTTATTAAAAATTTTGATTAGCAAAAACCGGATGTAACTTGAATATGGAAGCATTTTAGGAAGTTGAGAAATGGTTCTAAGATCATGTATTAGACATGACTGGATTTGAAAACGATATCCTATTCGTTACTTATGTTCTGTTTATCTAATCGAATTTCGAAATTTTAGTATTAACTAGACTTCTGTCTATATTTTCAATTATTTAGTAATAGTAGAAAAAATTTGTATCTAGAGATGAAAATAACGAATATTCGGTGTTCTATGTGTTCTGGCTTTTGTGTTTTGGTCGCATAACGTCGCATTTTCACAGATGGGTGATCTAATCATAAAGCTTTAATCGTCTTCCTAGACGACATCAGCTATAGCACAAACTTCATTATGAAGTAACTTTCGTCGTAAAAACGAAAAACTACCCACACAGCTTTATCAAAATATTTTACAAGTTTGTATTCATCGTGAGATGACGTGGGCTGAAGGAACATTGGAAACCTGGAAGCAGTGGATAGCTGTTTCGGCTTAGTATGGGACTCTTCAGCTGTGCACACTCACGACCCCTCCCCGTCAGAAGTCGAACCCAGAACCTTCAGGTCCTATGGCCAGCAAGTTACCACTGACTCACTGATCCCTGGCGGGATCATGGGTGCGCACTGCTGAGGAGTTCCATACTAACTGGACGAAACAGCTATCCAGTCCTCCCAGGTCTCCAATATTTCTCCAACTGGTGTCGTTGCATTATGAATACCGACCTGAAATCAATCGATAAACCCCTACAAACCCCCAAGTTAAAAATATCATAATAAAATGCCTATCCAGTTGATCATCAACTACAAAAGTTATCCACAGCAATCAATAAACGAATCATTCTACCAGAGAGGAGGAATATATCAGATATCAAGACGAGATTACTGAGACCACCTGGAATTACTGTGGCTCATAAACCAACAAATTCCCTCCAAACATTTTTATGCAAACCAAAGGATGCCATTACCAAGGTCGACAGACCAAATATCATTTAGAAAACAAACTGCAATAACTGTAGTCAACACTCGACTGGTCAAAGCGGTCTCCTACTTCGCCCTCATCTACATGAGAACATCAGTTGGCTATTAAACCTCACTACATTTCATCACTCATCGCTCAATCCATGTGGAAAACAACCATCGGCATCAGTTCAGTCTTGACAATGTAGAAATTTTGGACAGAGAGAGAGAGAGAGAAAACACAAAGAATATCAGAGAATTCATGGAGGCCTGATATTCGGATCAGTCAGTCAATCAGCAATCGATTTATAGATATCGACCCAATCTATCAACCAATGAGAAAAATGACAAATGGCAGAAAGGTGAGAGGTCAGACAGAGAACTAGCCAACATGAAGATCTATGTAGTCAACAATCAATCACAAACCAGTCTGTCAGGGCAAGCTACTGAATCACTTGTGGAGAGATATTGAAAGTTGACTTTGCATTGAAGTTAGCACTGATGATCTTGCTATCTAGAAAGACAGTGTGAGCTTTATGATTAAACCAGTCACCGGTGATAACGTAGCACAATCGAAAATTTCGTTCTTTGATGTTTCATCATCATGCCAAGTGACTTCATCAGCACTTACTTTATGCACACTAACTAATTATCTAGCTATGTGACTGAACCGATAGGATGATGAAGACCTGCAAAATGGCTCAGTGAAATCTGATTCATTATTCATGACCATGAAAACCATTCCAGCAAATCAATACTGAATCCTGCATTTGTAACCAATGTAATATTCTTAGACCATAGAAAAGCCTGAAATTCCATCAGAATATCCCAACACTATGGATTACCACAAACCTTTATCAACATCATTCAACAGCAGTTATATGAGGATACTACATGCCAAGTGATACACAGTGGAAGGCTCAGTGACGCCTTGGAAGCGAAGACAGGAGTAAGACAAGGCAACGCTGTTAACTATCACCCATGACATTCCTGATTGGGTTGGAATGGATCATGCAACAAACAGTGAGGAGCGAGAAGAGGTAGATAGGCAAGCTGAACCAGGGTAAAGATGTTAGAAGATTTAGATTTCGCCGATGACTTGTGTCTGATGTCTTACAAACTTGAAGATCTACAGGCAAAATCCAACAAGTTGACAGAAGAGGCAGGGTAGGACAGTGAAGACGGGAATTCAAGTGAACGTGGAGGAGACAGAGATGATGATAATATCCCACCAAACATCATCACCAACAACAACAAGCTGCAATCACCATGGACGGGAGAAACTAAATGAAGTTGTCTCTTCCACCTATCTAGACAGCAACGTTTCAACTACAGGAGGCGGAACAGATCAGGACGTCAAATCCAGCCAGGATAGAAAGACAGCAAGACAGGCCTTCATGCATTAACCCGAAACCAGTGTGGAGATCTACTGCAGTGCACTGCACTGCACTGCACTCAGCATAAAGCCTGAACAAGATCCAGATTTTCAACACCAACGTCAGTGAAGTCAGTGCTTCCGTGTGATGTTTGGGAAACTTGGCGCGTTACGAAAGCGATTTCTAACAAACTACAGACATTCATCAACAACTGTCTACACTGGCTCGTTACTGAAGATGAGATGAGGTGGCCAGAATAATGAGAATAAGAAGGAAGGGACTCTGGCTGACAACAAACCAACCAGGACTCATCACTCAACGAATATGCAGAAGGAAGTCAGATGGATTGGGCTCACACTGAGAAGACCGATTGGGGACATCACGCACTAGGCCAGGTCCTTGAGTGGAAGCCAGATGGGAAACGAAGAGTTGGGCGTCCTAGCTGAGGGTGACATGGAGGATATGGTGTGAGGAAGAAATGAGAGCTTGTGGGTAGGCAGTCGTGTAGGCAGATTGAAAATATTGCGGAGAAGAGTGTGGAATGGAGACGTGCTACTGAAGCTGTATGTTCGACTAGAAACCCAAGGGACAAATAATAATAATAATATGATCTCATAGGCAATCTGGAAGTTATTTTATCTTGAAATCAGTGTAAGATATTCTTCGGCAAGTAGTAAACAGAGGATCCGCATGTTTGATAAACTGATAGAGATAGAAGGATTATCACTGACTCCATATAATAATAACTAATGGAAACTAGGGGCAGTTACACTCAACTAACGAGTCCCAAAACGGGCGAAACACGCATCTTGGGTTCCACAGAGAATCACCAAAATGAGTACAACATCGTGAATATCTGGCAGTATTGAGACATTCGCATAGGAGCCCACCTGCCAACAGAAGTCGAGTAATTCGACTTGGGATATAACCGGGTTCAAACAATAACTGTTGAGGGAGTTTCAAGGTAATTTTGGTCGTCAACTGACATCAATTAAGGAACCCTTGGAAATACTAAATCAGTGGACTGCTCTTTTGCTCCGGTTTGGGACTTCACACTAATGTGTACCAACGACTACGCAAGGGTCGAGCCCAGTACCGTTGGGTCTCATGACAAACAGGTTTACTGTTCAGTCATTTAGTCGATAGATTTTTCCTTCTTTCGATTCGCGATGTAGTACAACTTTCATCCATCCATTGTTATCAGTGATGATTAGTTTTTCATATCCGACATGTTCGACTTCACAGGTCATGACTTCTAACAAACTACCAGTACCAAATAACAGATTAATTGGAGATAAAAAGCCCTGACCTATGGGACTGAATAAACAAGAAGTAAAGACAGCTGCTCACCGATGATATTCGGTGAAGTAACAGTCAGCTGTTTATAGAATATGACATTCAGGTCTACGAGTACAAATATGCATGTGTGTAAAAAGTGTACAGGCAGTATGGCAGGTAGTATGACCTAACAGTCTACGAGTGATACGAGACTAGAAGACTGAACCATATGAACCCAACGTACAAACGAATCGACTATAATGCATACCAGAACATCAACCATCCCCACAAAAATACCACAAACATGCGAAGAAAATACGAGAAGGCAGACCGTTGACAGAGAGCTCTCTACTGTCTCAACAACAGTCAGTACATTGACGGCGAAGCTAAATGACCTTGACAACACTGAACCCACAAGCAGGTAAAAAAGGTTAACAACCAATAAAAGTCCAGCCTTGAGAGCAGAGGGAAGGAAAACTAGTAACGGTGGGAAAACAGCTGTGTAAGTTATTTTAAGGTCACGGGCAAAACAACAGGCAAAAGCTATACAAAATTAGGGGTATATAGCACCCAGCCTAGACTTCTCATCCCAATCAAAATCTAACGAATTACAGAGGGGGAGCACCGATCATCATTTTGACTATCTGAGATAGCAGCCGTGGTTGAGCAGACTAGTATATGTACTGGGTGATGACTGAAGATGAAATGAAAGTCTGGACAGCTACCACCGTATCGGAAACTCGATTGTCGCTGGTATGAATCCGGATATGATCTAAATTTTCATTTCACCTTCAATCATTAACCAGTATAAACATATTTATACCATTTCTGGAATCTAAAGTTATTAAAATCAAAGCCGAAAACACTTCTAACCTGATTGACATGTTTCTACATTGGTTGAATTCTGTAGTTTTCGATTGTTCATTGTTACAGTTCCTTCATTTCCAGCGTTCACCTGACCCCTTATTCGACTACCCACTGTAGACAGTATAGACTTAGTGTGTTCTGAATTGATAGCTGAATTGTAAGGTGTTGTTGGTGGCACAGAATGTTGATCTTCAGCACCTTCAACTCCAGTCTGTTCGCTTATTCGACTATCCTGCGTCTATTTATTTGTAAAGATGGAAATCAAGAAAATTTGATTATATTTGTGGTCATATGATGGTAAAACTATTGATTTAAGTAGCTGATTCTTTCCATGATAGGCACTGTCGTATTCAAACAGTGTGCTTATTTCAATCTGTATAAGGCTGTTCAACTGAAAATTGGTTATAATTATTTTTACTCTTTCTCGAGCTAATCAATAATACTCATTTATTGCTATTTGTAGTATCTCATGGTTATATTGGAACGGACTGCTTGACCTCTGTTGGCAGGTGGTATGCTATTCGGATGCTGGAATAGTCATTTTATCACAATTTACTAATAGTCAAGTCCCAGAAGCGCATTTCATCTCATTTGGGAATCGTCAGCTGGACATACTTGCAACCCAGTGGTCGTTTTTTATATTAAAGCTTTGACCATGTACCCACGACTTCAAACACCAGTGCGTTATCTATGAGGTCATTGAGGCGGGTGATGCAACTCTTTTACAACAGATAGACGTTGTTATTTACCAATTTTTGTAGTATCTCGTTGTTGTCGAGCAGCGATGGGTTCTGGCTTCCAGTCTGACTGGGAACATGATTACTCTTTGAGGTGTGTGTACATCCAGCTGACGATTGAGTTCCGAATAGTACGAAAAGCGCGTCCTGGATTTCACCGGTCGTTATTAAATAAACTATCAAATAATATTTACGCATAACTGACTTTAACTACTGAAATCAATTTCAGCGACCATTTGGTATTTTGAATCAAATCTTTTGTGTTGAGATTAAATTACCTGGAGTGAGAATATTCTCCCCATTTTCTTTGATAATATGTCATTTTCTGCTTGCGATTCTTTCAATCGCCGTTTAACTTTACGTATTTCTTCTTCAGCAAATCTTAATTGTTCTGAAAGATCAGTTTCTCTTTCTCTAGCCGCTTCCAAATCTCTCATTATTTGATGCTCTTCAAATGATGCTTCACGAGATAGTGATACACCTTGTCTAGACTACAAATAAAAAATCACAATAAACGTATGAGATATGACTAGATAAAAGGGTAAGATACTCATAGTGAATATCTATGGTCTTTGTACTGAATAGTGAATATTGAGGAAACTGCTGTTCAACGCCGCCTAATTCTTTGTAATGACGGCTGTCTTTAAACCGTCTCTGCATTTCACAATATCTTATCTTATCATGATCCTGACATCCAGATCTTTGTGATTTGTTGCATGATTCCTAGAAACAACATTATGAATTAGGGAAACTAGTTTATTTCGGCTTTGAAGGCAAAAAAGGCTAGTCGGTTGATGAGATTGTCAAGAGATGACTTGAACGTCTGCTGCATATTCTGAACCACCACCTATCTTGACACGCTATGCTAGGGGAAGTTGGGTTAGGTGCGAAGAAGCTTCAGAGTGGCCAGACCAAGACGTGATACCAATTCGTGAAGTCTCTGACTACTGGTCTGAGTCGTGTGGGGAATTGAAGACTGTTTGACTGAGGTTTCTGAGACTAAAGAAATCAGTGGTTAAGGGCTCTTGCTGATGTGACTGGAAATCAGTTACGATGGCACAGATGTGTTCACTCTTTGAAGTCTTCCAAGCCTTAAACATTCTCACTAACCTTTCGCTTCAGATTGTTTATTTTCCCACATTTCAGTCAGTTAGTCGTCAATCATTTTAGCTTTCATCTGCTGGAAACGTTGGAGCATACAATAAGAGCCTTAGTAACTGTATGAAATTCAGTTTAGTTGGTGACAGGATCTTGTATACTTATTGACTGTCAAAAGAAATGGATCTGTGAAACAAAGTGCGTAAAGCAGGCAGTTCATACCATATCATTATAATTGATTAACTTGTCAATAACCTCACTTCTATACTTGAAGAACTAATATTTACACTGGTTGATTACTGGAGTGTAGTCGATTTCATGTTTTCTAGCCCTGAGGGCTGATGGAATTCTTTTGGTGATTTCTCAATATGGCCGTTAAGCAACGGGGCTCATCACGGTGGTTAACTTTGATAGGTGTTAGTTAGTTGCAGGCAGTCAACTAGATGCATTCAATATACAATTCGCGCTTGCTGGCGCTAGTCAACAAGGCGCATCCACAGTCTCAAAGGAATTTTTGTCTTCAGTGGTAGGTTTACTGATCGCAACACTGGATAACGCAGGTCCAAATCTCAGAGGAGATATCAATACCTTCAAGGCTTCAGAAACGCCTTGTCAATGAGTGTCAACAAAAGCAAAAACTATGAGCAGCAGCTGATGAAGTTTTGAAGTGCAATGATGCATTGACGCTCACTAAAACACTTATATACAGTCGTCAATATGAATTCGACTTACAAGATATTGAAATCTTGGATAGAGGAAATTCGAAGAATGTCAGGAAAATCTCAAAAGTTTGTCACTCAGACCAATCAGCAATCAACAGATTATATTGAGCTTAACCCAAATCCATCAACCATTGAAAAACATGAGAAGTAGAAAGAAGCCAGGTTTCATATCACCAGAGCAGCCAATAGAAATTCGCGTGTGGACAATAATAAGATTTTAGGAGAAACAGCCAATTACACTCAAGGTCATGAGAAGAAATATTTAAGAGACTTGCATTGATGACTTTGTCTAGAATGACAATGAAAGCTGCATGATCTAGGCATCCAGGTGAGAAAATACAGCACCATAAATACTGAAGACAAAGTAAGGCTACTAATATGTAAACTCTAAATAGAGCTTATAAACTGAAGGAGGACGTTTATTTCAATAAACATTAAAGTAATTAGTTTGAGGTTTATCACGTGTTGATATCAGTTATAGAACCACTGAAAACTTGTAGCCCTGGACAGCTGTTTCGAGGCTCGACGTGAAAACTAGCACTCAACAATGGCGTCAGATGATAGTCACGCCATGTCATGAATTGGCTGTAGTAAGAAAATGTGGTTGACACACTCGCCAACAGACCTGAATTCGCTGAGTACTATGCCTGATGAGGTTGTGAGTACAAACTGGTCAAGAGTTCCATTCTGGGACGAAATAACCTTATTTTCACAATCTAGGCTACATCATCATATAGCACATAGCTGCTGTTGAATGATGTCCACAACCTTTTGTTGCACTAAAAGTGAAGTGTTTAATCAGCCGCCTAATTACTCCTCAGTCATCGCTATCCAAGGCATTTTCAAAGTCGATGAGGTTGAGGTAAAGAGTTGACAGCCGTTCTATGTTCTCTTCTATATTGATGTGTTGTGTAGCGTTGCAGTTTTATCCGCACACGATTTGTTCTTCCTGAAGCCAGCCAGCCAGCCAGCCTGTTTCGGTCTTGAATTTTGAATGCAGAGCACTTTTAAGTCCCTCTAGGATGATGCGGCCTAATATTTTGGTTGGGGTAGATAGCATTATGATTCCGCACCAGTTCGTGCAAAGGCTCAGGTCGATAACTGAAGGTAAGATAAAAATCTATACAGCGGCGGGATTCGAACCAGTTATTTACTACCTGATAAAGACTCATTAGATGAATCAGATTATGGTATAATAACCTAAAACTAGGCCAACAAATACATTGGTTGGTTACTGGAGGGTAGCCAACTTCACATTGTCTAGTCCTATGTGCTAACCCAATTGTATCGATCATTTTACAGTGCGGCCACCAGACTAGGCAGCACTTTGATAGCTATTAGTTGGATGAAGGTAATCGGTAGGAAACCGTGAACGTAGATCCCAGAACTGCTGTCTCGCCCGAGATTCAAACCTGCCCCACTCAGTGTTGCAGTCAGCGACGTTATCACCAAGCCATTCGGGTCGTGACTGGCCGCCTGTAGGATTGGATTAGATACATTAGTTGTTTTCTAGTCCCAGTCTGGTAACCATATTGCAAAGTGATCGATAGGATTCGGTCAGCAGATAGGAGGCTTGAGTTTTATTGGGAACAACATCACTCTGCACTGGGGTGCAGGTAAATCCAGCTGTCGAGCCCGAAGTAGGACGAAATGCGTGTCCTGGATTCTTCTGCTAGTCAAAACCAATTAAATTATCTTAATAAATATTTAGACAATATCGAGGCATCCAATATGGCAACATAGAATTACAAGTATATCAACAAATCGTAGTAAAGAAAATGATTATTGACAAGAATTTTACTCACTCTATTTTTATCAGTAACCTGTAATGGTCCCTTATCGATGACCCCTCTTTCATTTTTCAATTTATCAAACTAGTTAAAACAGAAGGTATGATAAATTATTCTTCATCTTGAACAGAAATAACACCAAATTATGGATGAATTCAAATAAATATAAACCGTAACCGGTCTAGAAGTAAACAACGTTTGAATTTTTCAGTAATAACTTTTAGATACCAGGCTGAGTTCTCGATAAATTAAAACAAATCATTGAATAGGATGTTAACTATCCTACCTCCAAGATCATTGAGGAGAGTCTACACTGAGTATTATACCAGGAAGATAACCTGACCATATACACCTACAGCCTTTTCATTTATAAGGTGATGAAACAATAAACTGAAGCTTTTCGAAATCACACACAAACGATATTGAGACATTATTTTGTCGAGACTTTCCTATAGTACTTTCATTGTTGTCTTACTTTCAATGAATCAAGCGAAAAGTAATGTAACAAGTGATGGGTATATTTCAAATGTTCATCGGATAATAATAATCGATATCCACTTGCCAACTTTGTGAACATTTCCATAGTAGACAGGATGTCATACTTATTGTATAGAAGGAGTAATTATACAACTACCTTAGTATAACAGTAAAACTTAAGCATTGTGGTAGGATGTAATTCCACTTTAGTTGACTAATTAAATGTATCACACAGTGAAGGAACAGTATTCTTTCCTGGATAAAGTTTTGAATAAAATTTATTGTTCATAGTCATATCAAGATAGCTCCACAACTTTAAGATGTGGCTTATGTAGCCTTAATTTTCTCGCCTTCTTTGTGACGTAGATTATAGAAATTTCTATCTGTCAGGAACAGTTGGTCTGTCATTCCTGTTGCATGTTGTGTTAGATGCTGATTTGATAAACAAACTTCCGTTTATCGATCTCTCCGTTCATTCTGGTACGTAAGCTGTAAGGATTTCCACCCTGTCTCACCCGATTGTGTAGTTATGTATAATTGCATGGCCAAGCTTATTTCTAGATTTCTTATCTTACTAGGGCAAAACCCTTGATGACTGAAGTGAAATAAAAATGTGGTCAGTAGTTCGAAATCGTAGTTCAATTGGTAGAGCATGTGGCCGGAAACCCAATGGTCACTGGTTCGAATCCAACCGCGGTCTAAATTTTCATTTCACCTTCAATCATCACGCAGTATCATTACTAGGATCTGTCAATTTTGACCTAGTTAGCTTTTTGTTCTGTGATTGGAAAGCCTAATTGACTGGTTGACTGCTTTGACCTATATATTTGACCTCACAATCAATAAAAGGGATTCGATTAAATAAATTATTCTACCTAATTTATTCAATAGGATCTTCCAACCTACAAAGCTTATTTCAGAGTGAGCTTATTGGTTTATATTCCACTCTAATTCTAGCCTTATTGAACATCCTACGTAATGTCTCTGAAGTTCTTTCCCTCGCGTCGTATTACTGTGCAGGTTTCAAGTTTCACTCTCACTGTATTGTTACTACTACTACTACTACTACTACTACTACTACTACTACTACTACTACTACTACTACTACTACTACTACTACTACTACTACTACTACTACTACTACTACTACTACTACTATTTACAGCTGTGTTGCTTGTATTATGCAGATTCTTGTTTCTTTTAGTATAGAATTCATTATTCAGTTTAAAGAGGTTATTAATAATGTGTAGGATGTCTTTAATCTACCTTATTTCTCGTCCTAAATCTTCTGATATACTCTTAACTGTTTTAGCCCATACAATAGGAATCATTCAGCAGCTTTTCCGGATACATAGAAAATTCTACTGCCTATATCAACCATGCAAACCATGTCTGAAAGTTGTGGAATTATCTTGATATGATATACATATGGACACTAAACTGAGTCCGAAATGTAATCCAGTAAATAATTCTTACTGTCCCTTCATTCTGTGTGTGATACATCTATAAAGTCAACTAAAATGGTATATTCATAACTGGAGCATATTTGATTGATATTCACTGATACAGTAGCTGAATCATTTCATTCTAAATGAAGATCTTTGTCATGCATGACCTGAGTTAAGCTGATCAAAGCGATTTTGATTACACACTTGGCATTTTGTACTGGAAACAGATTTTTTATCAAACTTTTTATTCATATCACAATAACCAAATTTATTAACACCAAGTCGGTTGCACAGTCAGGTGACTGTGTTCAGAACTATAGACGAGTTGGATTCGGTAAACCAGATTATTTTGCTAAATTGCTTGTTTCTAAACGAGTTCGTTAATTGAAATGCCACTTTAATCCTATCCAGCATTATTAAGAATTCTTCGTAATGCTTCTGCGGTACCTTCCTTTGTTTAGTAATACAAGTAGAGGGTTTGAATTCTCTGTCAACTCTGTTACCATTATTACCATTAATAGTAGAATCATTATGAATTTATTGATAAATTTGACTGGGTAATTATTTAGACGCAGGGTATTCCTGATGTGTTTAATTTCTTGTTGTACATTTCCCGGTCTACTAGTAAGCTTTTCCTCCTGTATCATTTAGGCATCTAACTAAGCCTACTTTAACTTAGATGGGGTGGGAGGATTCGAAGTTTAAATAGTGGTTTGAATAGGAAGGTTTCTTGTAGACGACACTAGTCTCTAGACTCCCGTCTTGTGTTCGTTTAATCTTGAAATCCAACACTTGCTACCTCATCTTCATCACTTTCTTAGTCATAGATAAATTGGATTGTATTCACTACTGAATTTATACGCGTCAAGAACCTATTGATATGTTCCGATGTCAGTATTGTAAACGTATCATCTACATATCGGAACCCTATCTTTGAAGTAGGACTAAATGTTTGACGGACTGTCTATTCCCCACTATCCATAGATGTATCTGCGACCATAGGAGACATCAGTGATCCTATGGTAACCTCTTCCGTCTGTTTATATATATATTGAAACTTAAAACTGTAGATGTCATGCATAATCGTACTGCAAGCATGATTTCCTCTATCGACAATTTAGTTCGATGTGTAAGCCATTTGTCATCCTAACTGCCTCTAGAGCCATGTCGATCGGTATATTCGTGTAAAGGCTAATTATGTCAAAGTTAATCATTATTTCATTGTTATCGACTCATATATCATCTTATCTGTGCTTTAAGTCATAAGGGTTAGTACCATCCCTGAGTTTTAAGATAAGCCATAAATAAGTAAGAGTGTTTCTAAACTCTACAATGGGCCTGATGGAATAAGCTGGCTTATAAATCTTAATAGTACCATACATTCTACTGGAACTATTAGTCTTCAGCACTAAATAGGACTGTTTTGTGTCACCTAGAAACGGTTTCATTCGACGTATCATATACTCGCGTGCATTTCTTAACCTTATTCATAACAGTATCTACTGAACTCTTAAGTTCCTTATATGGCCCTGTTACTATTGACTCATTCACTTTGTAGATGTAGTCTGATTTGTTCATCAGAACTGCTGAGCTGCCTTTATCCAATTTGGCAATAACTATATTGTTATCATTTTTAAAGGTTCCTAAGAGCTTCTCTTTCCCGTTTCAGTAAATTAAATTTTCTTTTCTTCTGGAATTACAAACTTCGATAGCTCCCAGACCTAACTTCTTTATTAATAAAACATATGATCTTCCTGTTTGAAGACTAACCACACAGTAATTTACAAATCGCTGATTCAAACCTTGGTGGATTACAGTTTCCTTTACACGTTTCTTATCTTTAGATTCTTTCTCAATAGAATGGTACTTATATACTGTTCCTAGATGGCAAGTAGAAGGCAGACATTGACTAGTTATTGGATAGAAGGCAGTAACATGCTTTCCTCATACCTAATTAATAAGTAATACATCTTAAGCGAACTAAGGTACTTACTTCTAATTTTAACCGACCAAGTTCATTTTCAACTGCTATTCTTCTATTCTGTGATGTTTGTAATTCTTCATTCAACTGACGATTTTCTTCTTCATAATAGACACGTTTCTCATCCAACAAATCCAATTCATTGTTTAAACGTACACCAACTTCTTTAGCAACACGTAATTCCTCCTAATTAGTAAGTAATTAAAACAAAAACAAAAATCGAAGTGATACTTCCTTCAATTTAATGAAACTAAATGGATTGAATCATTGAACACTTTAATATTTTGAGGGAGTTGTGGGGATTTAAAAATATTTCAAGTTTTTATTCACCATAGACTGACATCAGTTGGAGGAATGAAGGAAACTTGGGAGCACTGGACAGCTGTTTCGTCCTAGTATGAGACTTCTCAGCAGTGCTCACCCACGACTCCGCACCACCAGGGATCGAACCCGCGACCTTCAGGTTCCATGGCCAGTACAGCACGTTACCATTGAGCCACTGGCTCAGAATCCAATCGTCCATATTTCCAACTTCTGTTGGCTCACGAAATAGTGCAACCACCACTCAATGTCATCGTTGAGTAACTGTCCTGATGACCATCAGGCTTTTCCCCACCGGTCACGACTTCTCATTGGAGCTTCTGGAAAACGATGAATAACAACTTGAAATATTTCCAAATCCCCACAACTCCATCAAAATTCAATTTAACTGGTGCTCATTCGTGACTAGCTTCGAGAGGTGATTCCCGAAGTTCCAATGAGAAGTCGTGACCGGTGGGGCAAAGCCTGATGGTCATCAGGACAGTTACTCAACGATGACATTGAGTAGTGGTTGCACTATTTCGTGAGCTAACAGAAGTTGGAAACATGGACGATTGGATTCTGAGCCAGTGGCTCAATGGTAACGTGCTGTACTGGCCATGGGACCTGAAGGTCGCGGGATCGATCCCTGGTGGTGCGGGGTCGTGGGTGAGCACTGCTGAGAAGTCTCATACTAGGACGAAACAGCTGTTCAATGCTCCCAGGTTTCCTTCATTCCTCCAACTGATGTCAGTCTACGATGAATAACAACTTTAATATTTACTAGTCGATAATAAAATCAGTCATATCTTCCACATGCATTTCGCTGAAGAAAAAACTCTATAGTTCTATATAGAGGTTTGTTCTAGTTTATTAATTGGTTTCAGGCTGAAATTCATTATAAAATGATATCAGTCAGAGGACCATTGGAAACCTGGAAGCACTGGACAGTTGTTTCGTCCAAGTGTGGAACTCCGCAGCAGTGCTCATCCATCACTCCGACAGATAAAATTAATAACATCAAAGCACTGACTTCACGGACATAGTGTTGGAAATCCAGATCTTCTTCTTTATGTTGAGTGCAGTAGATCTCCACACTGATTTCAGGTTAATGAAGGCTTATCTTGCTGCTTTTCCGATCCTGGCTTTCATATTCTCATCTATGCCTGTGTCGCCTGTGGTTCAGACGATTGTGTCTAGGTAGGTGGGTCGATGAAAGAGGCAACTTCGTCTAGATTTCTTCCGTTGGTGGTGATTGATGCTTGTTAATGGTGGTGGTGAAAGGGTATCTCCATCACCTCTGTCCTCTCTACGTTCACCTGAAGGGAGTCCCATCTTCGCTGCCTCACCTCACCTCACCTCTTCTGCCAACTTGTTAGTCGTCGCCTGTACATCTTCGAGTTTGTGCGACATAAGACATTAGACATAAATCATCATCGGGGGAAATCCATATCTTCGGTGGTCTTTTCATCGGTCAAATAGCGTACGCCTATCTTCTCACAGCTCCTCACAACTGTTTTCGACATGATCCAGTTCAGAGCAGTCGAGTCTAGTCGACCACACTCAGGAAGATGATCGGTGATAGAAGACGGTAACCTTGTCTTACCTGTCAACCTGTGTTAATTTCGAGGGGCTTAACTGAGCTTCCCATTGTAAATCACTTGGCATGTAGCATCATCATAAAGCACATAGCTGCTGTTGAATGATGTTCACAACTTTTTGTCATACTAAAAGTGAAGTGTTTAATCAGCCGTCTAATTACTCCTCAGTCGTCACTATCCAAGGCATTTTCAAAGTCGATGAGGTTGAGGTAAAGAGTTGACAGCCGTTCTATGTTCTCTTCTATATTGATGTGTTGTGTAGCGTTGCAGTTTTATCCGCACACGATTTGTTCTTCCTGAAGCCAGCCAGCCAGCCAGCCTGTTTCGGTCTTAATTTTGAATGCAGAGCACTTTTAAGTCCCTCTAGGATGATGCGGCCTAATATTTTGGTTTTTGGTGAACAGCATTATGATTCCGCACAGTTCTCGCAAAGGCTCAGTTCTCCTTATCTTTAAGGAATTTGACGATATAGCCCTTCTTCCAATCTGCAGGTACCTTTCCTTCCTATCTTCTAAATCTTGTGCCATAATGGTGCGGGGATGTCCGCTGATGTCTCTGCGTCTGTTTTCAGTGCTTCTGGAGGCATTCTATCTGGTCCTGCTGCTTTCCTGGATTTCAACAGCCTTATGGCGTTCACGTCTTCTGATTTTTTCTAGGGGCTTGCGTCCACTGATAGTTCTGTGATTGGGCTGCTGGACGGAATGCAGGTGGTGGTGGTGGTCGATTCAAGAGTCTTTTGAAGTGATCAGCCTTTACGATATGACGGTCCAATTTATCCCAACATCAAAGAATAATGAGATAAGACAAAAGTCGGCAAACAATGAATGCATCAAAAGTTGTTGAAAGCCATATATGGAAAGAAAGGTGGCAGCGAATAGCAAAATTTGAATAAGTGTTTATTTAACACAACATTCTCGAATAAATCGATAAATTTTTACCCAAACCATTAATGAGTTCCAACCTGAAATCAATTAATGAACCTCCACTAACCCCCAGATTGAATTATTCTAGCGCTCAGTGGTGACTAGCTTCGACAGGTGATTCATGAGGTTCCAGTGACAAGTCGTGACCAGTAGAGTCAATTAAGTTGAACATGAAGACATTTGATCAACGACGACATTGGATGTAAATCGCTGTATATCATGTACTGATAGAAGTAGGAAGTAGAAACCAATGGATTCCACCGACCTAGTGGTTCAATGTTAACGTGGTGGCCACGGAACCTGAAGGTCATGATTTCAACCACTGGTGAGTGGAGTTGCAGATGTGCACTGCTAAGGAGTCCCACAGTGATTGGATGAAACAGCTGGCTATGTAGTATTTCTAGGTTTCCAATGTTTCTCTATCTGATGCCAGTCCGTGATGAACTCCAAACTGAAATCAATTGATAAATTTCCACATACCTCTAAATTTAAACTAAGATTTTAGTTAAGGATTCGAACTAACAACTCGTTTGTAGCTAAACCTACTCCACCGGCCTAATTTATTGAATTCTGTGCAACTGTTGTTTATTTTGAGACAAAAGTGCATACACACTCAGCTGACGAGTCCCAAATGGGACGATTCCTTGGCTAGCCACAATCAACCAAATTACCGTGAATAGAAAACACTTTCTATAGAATTTATTCTGTTTTTTTTAAACTATCTTGACACTTATCTGATTTACGCATTGTGGAAATCATAGAAAATGGCTGCCGATTACGTCATTGCCTGAATAATCTGCAATCTCATTCTTTTCGTATATATTCAGTAATGCGTTATTGACATAAGTTACCATATCATGTGTGTTTATGAAGTTGATAAAACAGTATATGAATAAAAGTCGAAATAGAAGTTGCTACTGTCTTTAGACTAAACCATTTTTGACAATTATACACATGACGTTTAAACGTACCATGTGATTGTTGTGTACCATTTTTGTCACGTTATACGAAAAATAATAAGTGCGCAACTGTTTTACTTGCTTGAAGAGACAATTATTCGTCAGTTAGTCGTATACAACAATCTCTTTGTCGTAGAGATCAGTCAATGTAAAGGTGTTCTTCTTGTACGATATAACTTGACTTCGACCTAAAACTTGCAGTTATGATCCTTCAATGTAGAAGATCTCACATACCATGTTAGTTAGCTGTGGAAAAATGTTATCATGATTTGTTGTGGATCAGATGCGATGGAACACGTGCTTCTGTCTAAGACTTCCGAAACACTACCATAATCCAACTAACAGTATGAATTTGAAAAGCAGGGGGGATAAAAGGGATCTATCTTCTTTCGGTGGTATCAATTTTTCAGCTGTCTACAACCTACAATTCTGCCAACAATTTAACACGCTTTCATTCAGTGAAAGTAGAAGACAAAAAATATCAGTCAGTAGTTAAGACCAGATGGGAAACGACGAGTTGGGCGTCCCAGCTGAGGGTGACACGGAGGAGATCGTGCGAGGAGGAAATGAGAGCATGGGGGCTGTCGTGGAGCCAGGTTCAAAAGATTTCAGAGAACAGAGTGCATTGCAGACGTGCTACTGAAGGTGTATGTTCCATTAGGAACCCAAAGGACAAATAATAATAATAAGTTAAGACTGACATACATAGTCATAGACTGGGGGTCAATCAAAACAGCAGATTCATGGGAGGTCAGTAAATTTATACAATTAAATACATAATCCACTGGAAGTTTCTTGAATAAAAATAGCGTCAGAATTAATCATCAAAATATGAAGGGACTTAGCACTGTAAGATTACGTATACTCCATGACTGTAGTACCTTGTATCCTGTTAAGAACAGAAGATATAATGTGACTATAACGTTTCGATCATAGATGTATTCATAGCATACCTTGAAAAAATGCTGAAGTTAGGCGGAAAGTTCTAGGCAAGACAGGCTGCCAAATCGATTTATGACGTTGTGAAACATATCCAATTGAAATCGCTTCGATACGTACTGCCCATGCCGAGTTACCCCTTACCTCAACGTGCCATGTTTGAAGAAATTGGATTAAGTTGGAAGAGGGTAGTCAAACTTAAACATGGCACTAGTCAATAAAGTCCCTGACTATTGATCTGAGGAATGTAGGAAGAGGTGTAGACTGTCTGGTTGGGATCCCTGAGATGAAAGGAACTGATGGAGTTATGGAGTTTCTCGGAGATATAGGTGAAAATTGGACACAGTGGTTCAGATGTATTCATTCTTTGTTTGCACTAACCTTTATCTTCTCTTATACTGCTTTATATCCCTTGGTATCAGTCCTTTTTTATTTACTGGTTCTTTGACCACTACTTTGAAGTG